AATGTAGTCTTTTTTTTATTTAAGTTTAATTTCTTAAAATTTATTTTAAAATATTTTTCTCTGTTATAAAACTAACATTATATTATTATTTCATATTCTATAAATTCTCTAACGTTTTGGTGAAATTTATAAAAAATCACTATTTAAAAAATATTTCGAGAAAATTGATCATTCACAAAATTATCGAAACTTCATCATAAGATGTTTTAATTATTTAGTTTAAAAAAGATTTTAAGCACATCCCAACTTTTCGGTGAGTTTTCAAAATTTTGAACAAATTTTAAGATTATCCCGATTGTTCGATGAAATCTAAATATTATGATTATTTTAAAATTTTATATTATTTATTCTTTAATTATTTTTTATAAGAAAAATTTTAAATTATCTTGACTCACCGGTGAAATCTAAATATTAATTTTTTGTTTGTATTGAAAAAAATCAAACTCTTTCAATTTTTGATATTTTAAAATATTCAAAATATCAATTATTATTATTATTATTATTATTATTATTATTATTATTATTATTATTAGTGTTGTTGTTGTTTTATATTATTTAAACCAATTTTTATTTTAGTGAAAATAATTTTGGATTATCCTAATTCTATGGTGAAATTTGAAAAATTATTTTTACTTGCAACAATTAAATAAAACTAAACTCTTTTAGCTTGCTTTAAAAATTTTATTTAAAAGATTCATTTAAACAATTTTATTTTTTTATTTATTAATTTTTATTTATTAATTTTTAAATATTTTTTTAAATTATCCCAATACTTTGGTGAAATTTAAATAATATGTTTACTTGTAATAAAATTTGTTTCCTTTAAGTAGTTATTATTATTAAATTTTTTATTTATATTTTTTTAGGTCTTTATTTTATTTTAGTTTTATTTTTTATTTTTTTTAATTATTATCATTAATAATAAAAAATAACAATAATAATAAAAAATAACATAAAAATCAAAATCAAAATCAAAATAAAATAATAAAAAAAAAACCTACGAAATGGGTCGGGTCGACGCGCGGATCCTACGCGGGTAAGGTTTGATTCAGATGTGCAAAATAACATCATTTAGAAAGACATATAAAAGGCATGTTTCTAGTTCTTTTCTTTGTTTTCTCAATTTTCTTTTCTTTCTCTACTCAGAGCTCTTTTCTCTAAAAAACTCAACCCTTATGTCAACCGCCGTGAGCCCAGTTTCAATCAATTATCATCGTACATTGATGGCTGGAAACTTCAATGGCACTGAATCATTTTGACAGCTTGATTTCGATGACTTTTAATTATTAGATTTTATGCTATCATGTTAGACAATATAAAAAAAAAATTTGAATCATTTTGACAGCTTGATTTCGATTATCATAATTGAAATCAAAAATTTTTATTTTTTATTTATTTTAAAGATTAATAATAATAAAAAAAAGAACAAAATTGGTGCCTACGAGAGCATGGCTGCAAATGTAATTTTACCGGCTGATCACAGCACTGGAAATACGACGAAGCATCTTTCTTTAACAAAAACACCAAATTAAGAATCTCCATTTGGCGACATATTCATCGGGTATCTGTCTGTTTACGCTACTTGTTGTAGCTCACTATCAAATAGAGCTTTCTAGACTAGGTGTTGATGGAGACCACATCTGCATTGCATACACAACAAGGCTGCTCTTTTTTTGCAGTCACAAACATAAATGGGTCCATGATGTGTTAACATGGGCATATGCGGCATTGACAAACCTGCCCTGGACTGAGAATGACAACAATTATTTATTTAGGAATTTGTTTGATCCCACGAAATCATCAATTGCATCCATCTTTGACTGTAAATCTATTGGTTGAAGCAGTAATCTTCCAGAGATCTCATGGACCAGGTCTTGCTAAAGCAATCGGATCGGAATCCAGAGAAAGGCCTGTTCACACACCAATCTGCTCTCTGCTTGTCCAAAATTCCGTATTTACCACCAGTTGCAACTTGCAGGGCTGATTTTTTTTTTTTTTTTGTTAACGCTGCAAATAGGATTTTGTCCACTACAAATAATATAATTAAAATTTAATCAAAAGCGTGTATTGCTGAACCATTGAATTATTAATTACTTGTCTTGATGATATACCAAGTTAATTCATTCTTTGGTACACCAGACACTTCATATATATTCAACTTAAATTCACGTTTTTTAAATCTCTGGTGCTGCTGATCTCTTAATTCGACTTTTCTTACAAATTAATCCATGCCTAAGCGTAAACTAGGAAATATTGCAACTGATGTGATTATTTTGTAATTTTGGTGATCTATTTTATTGACATTTTCAATTTGTTTCTTTTGAGTGGCTTCATTATATTCGTAATTATGAGCCGAAAAGGAGGTTGCATTCATCACATTTTGGATGATATTATTTGGGCTGACGTGATAGTTGTACTTACAATGAATAAATAAGTCTTTTGCTGATCATACAACCAAATAAAAAAGTAAGTAATTGTATTTGTGCATGTGGCAACATGTCATTCATAAGAATCTCGTCATCTAATTTTTTTATAAATTTTATAAAATATTAAATTAATTATAACTATTATAAGTGATATATTATGTTTGAAAAAAAAAAAGAGTGTAATTATGAGGGGCACCTAGGCTATACCTACTTTTCCTCCTCCAACTTTTCTCTAAGGTTTGGTTATGTATCATTTGTCATTAATTAATTTGAAGTATTATTATTGGCTGAATAATATATAATACGTACGTAGGACACCTTTGACAAAAGCTAACCACGTTTTTTCTGTCTGACTTTCTCTTCGCTCTTGACTATTACAGGTTCGTTAATCTTATCTTTTTTTTTTTTCATAGCCCATGGGGAAACGGATTTTCTTACTACGATTGGGTATACAACAAGTTAAATATCAAGGAGTGATGATTCATAAATATGGGAGAAAATGAAACCATTGGTATGAAAATAAGAAAAAACGAAAGAGACTTGAGGCCTACCCTAATAAAATCTTTATTTAAAAAGATTAGCTAATTGATTGATGAGAGCGTTAGAATTTTATTGTTCAAAATTTTATAAAATTGAATTTAAAATTTATGGGAAGTTCTATTTGCATTTTTAAATTTACGTTCTGTATTTTAAATTTAAACTCAATAAAATTATTTTTATTTTTCACACCCTCATCCCTAAATTCACAATTCCTAAACTGATTTTCTTTCCTCATTCTCTTAATAGTTAAATAAAAACCAACAATCTCAAGTTTCAGAAGAGATTAACGGCTTCAAATAATTTTTTGAATAAAAAATTTATTATTTAAGTTTTTTTTTATAATTAAATGAGATTAAATATTGTAAATTATGTTTATTTTTTGCTTTAAAGTTTTTCAATATGTAAATTTGAAAATTTTTAAAAGTTTTTGGATATGCAAATCTAAAAATTTTTAAAAGTTTTGAAAATGTAAATTTAAAAACTTTTAAAAATTCAAATTTTTTTATAATTTTAATGGTTCATTCATCACTTTTCATCTTGATTGATTTTATTTATGTTACAAATATATATTTTCACAATATACAAGATAATAACAATAATTTTAATGGTTTAGGATTTGTGATGGAAACAAAGAAGAAAAGATGGGAAAGAGAAGAATTGGACATATGGAAAGATTAAAAGATAATTTATCAAATGTTAATTTAGTAATTTTATTTAGATGTATTTTTATAATAAAAAAAATTTGAGTTTATAAAGTAATTCTTAAGGTACAAATAAAATTTAAAAAACTTTAATTTAATTGATCCATTCAATTCTTTTTAACTATTAAATTCAAATGATCATTATTGAAACAAATTTTTTATTGTTAAATCATTATTTTAAAAAAAATTTATTTTTTATTTTAAAAAATACTATAGAAAATGGTTGTGTGAACTTACATTACATGCATTATTTTGCCAATTTTAACCAAATTTAAGCTAAAATAAAAAGTGATAAATTCAATAAATTTTATATTTAACCTTTTAATTACTATCAAGATTGACCCTCAAAAGTCATATAATCGTACAAAATTGAAAATTTCTTTTTTTTTTGGAAAGCAATAAAAATAAAAACCGTTTGAAAACTTTCAATTAAAAATTTAAAAGTAAAACAATATGAAAAAAAATATAAGGGTTAAAAGGGAAAGAAAGCTGCAATTAGAAGGCAAACTTTTTATTGGATTCTCATAAATTTGGTTTGACTGCAACAAAATGAAAATGTTTCTACTGTTATTGTTTTTTTACCTAAACAGACTTATAGCGTGATTGAACCATTATTGTTTATTTTGATATTGATGGTATTGCTCTATATATTTTAATTATGTTAAAATATGATAAATTTGAGAATAATTTTTCTTATCATATTTTATAATGTTGGTTATTTTTATTGATTTCACTTAATATCAATAAATTTTGATAAAATAATTTATTTTGATCTATACATAAATATAAAATATATTTTATAATTTTTAATTTATTTTTTGTTATTTATCTATTTTTAATATAATAAAAATAAAAATTAATGAACAAAATAACTTTTAAAAGTTATGTTCTTTATTTTTTATTTAATTTATTTGTTTACACTGCTTATTTAAATCAAAATTTATAAGTATTTCAAAAAAAATTTTTAAAAATAATTGCTCTTCCTTTTTAAAATTTAAAAATTTTAAAACTAAAATTAATTTTTTTCATCTCTTTATTTATATCTTAATATATTTTTATATGAAAAAAATATTTATTTAAATATTTAAAATATCATAATAAATTAATGATATTATTTTTTTATATTTTTAAACTTACTTAATTTTTAAAGATATTATTACATTTATTTTATATATTATTAGTAATATTATTATAGTATTTATAAATATATTTATATTAAATTTAAATTTTAAAATAATATTCTAAAACAACTGACCAACTACCGGCACTTATCCCCTCAATCGCCAGACTGGGTCGTGGGAGCAGTTTTGTTGTCTGACTCTGACTAATTGACTCTGTGCGATCAGTAAAGTATAAAAGGCTACGCTTGCGCCTCCTTCCGCCCTCCTCCAGAGAAAGTCAAATCTAAACCCACTGGCCATTTATTTTAAACACTAACAAGATAAAGAGAAGAAGAGAGAGAATCTAATATTAATAATGCATTAAGAGAAAAATAATAGCAATAGAAGTTAGAAAATGGAAAGAGATGGGTAAGTGTAAGTAACATTGAATAACAGAATAGAAATACTAGTATTCATTCATCAGCGTCATCATCATTATCAGCTGTGCGGCATTCATGTCGACCTGGTCAGACTCGGACGCATACCAAACACCAACTCACCCTTACCCAAACCCAAACCCAAGGTCTTCGTATTACGCTTTCCCTTTCCCTTTCCCTTTCCCTATCTATTTTTTTTTTTCCTTTTTCTAATTCGGCCCAGCATAACAGAACAGAAGAGAGCAGAACAGGGTAACATTAATGACTACTTTTTTTTTTTTCGCTGTTGTCTATTTTCATCCTCTTTTCTTTTACTTGCAACGAACTATTCATTGGAGGTTTCTCTTCTTGTCCAATAACAAAAGAAGGACAAAAGTATATACTGCGATGAATAAGGAAGCTTTTTTTTTTTTTAACGTATTTGTTGTTGGTGGTTCAGAGATATCAGGGGGAGCGTTGGGATAATTAAAAGAATTCCAGGCGGTCTGTGTTTTTATAATAGATGTTTCACAACTCTGCTGAGTTTTGCATTCTGAGGATGTCTGCGTCAAGGGCTTGGACAGTAGGAGCTGTCTTTCTTATGTGGCTGTTTGGGTCTTCATTACTTATTGGAGCACAAGATGGCATTACGGACCCAATCGAAGGTAATTTTGCTTACACTTCACACAAGATACCCATATCAATCCTTGTTTCTACTTTGTTTTTAACAAGATTAAGCATCTTTTTCTCACACTTTGCCTATCTTGTGCTTACTTTCTACCGAACCCCTGGATTGAATGTATTAGTTGATCTTAGTGTTGGACTTTTGGCCTTAAAGTTTTCTCTTTCATTTTTTCACTTCCAATTTCCAACACATCTCACAGGAGATGTAAGAGCATGGCCACTTCTGAATTTCACTTAATCCTTTTTCCCTGTCCATGTTGGATGGAAGTCCTTAATTTTCATTTGCATCTATTTGCAGTCCAGGCATTACGAGACATCAAGAGCACTTTGATTGATACCAACAAGAATTTGAGTAATTGGAATCGAGGAGACCCGTGCACATCCAATTGGACAGGAGTTTTGTGCTTCAATACATCTCTGGATGATGGCTACCGACATGTTAGGGAACTGTAAGTGTTCAGCACGAGAATAGTGATCTCTATTTAAACTGCCTTTGCTTTCACCCCTGTCAAAGTATCAATTCACTTTTGTATGCTTGCTAGCATCTTATGTAGATTCTAGTTACAAATTCACAAAAATATCAACTTCAAGTAGAATTACTCCTGATTGCAAAGATACATTTCTATTAATAATTTTGTTATGACAATTTATTCCTTTTTGTTATGTTCTTTGCAGGCAACTATTGAATATGAATCTTACAGGGAGTTTATCACCTGAGCTTCGCCGCTTATCTCGTCTAGAAATATTGTGAGGCTTAATATATTTGGATTAACAAATTTGCCTTAATCTCATTTTAAATTATATTTTAGGATATCCCTTTGCCAAAAAATCAGGAAGTTTTATAATTTTTCTCCTATTGGTAGTATAAAATTTTTTTTTTAGCTGATTTTTTGCTTCTGACTTTTCCAAAAGGGATTTTATGTGGAATGGCTTAAGTGGAAGTATACCAAAGGAGATTGGCAATATTACATCCTTGAAACTCTTGTAAGTTGTCTAGCTAATTTTGAAATTCTTCAGAACTGCATGAATTGTGCTTATTTTCTTATTTATATATGACATTCTTTGTTTCCAGGCTCCTAAATGGAAACCACTTGACAGGTCCTTTGCCTGAAGAACTTGGTTATCTTCCAAATCTGGACAGAATACAAATTGACCAGAACAACATATCTGGACCAATACCCACATCATTTGCAAATTTAAATAAAACAAAGCATTTGTAAGCTTTTTTTTATTTCTAGCCAGCCTATCAGTGTATTTGTTCTTGTTTCTTTTACCATACCTGTTCTCCACATTCATTATTCATTTGTTTCCTTTTAACCCTTGTGGATAGTCACATGAACAACAATTCAATTAGCGGACAAATTCCTCCTGAACTCGCCAGGTTACCATATCTTGTTCACTTGTAAGTTTCTTACCAGCTATTGTCTTAAATTTTAGTCTGTCATTCATCTCAATTATCAGTTAAATCAGTGACCATCTGCAATCTACCCTTTTCCACTTTCCTGCATAACTATGTCAATTTGTTATTAACAATGTGAGTTTCTGCAGCCTTCTGGACAATAACAATTTATCAGGGTATCTTCCACCAGAGTTATCCAAAATGCCGAATTTAACTATCCTGTATGGTTTCTTACTTTCATGGAAATATGTGGATTTAGATTTATACTCTAACTCAGATAAACTTCATGTACTTGATTCTTTACATTTCTTGGATGTGTTTTAGCATTTTTAATACTTATTATAATGCAGCCTTTTGGAAACATTCTGTTTATTTTGCATTTTAAACGCGCAATATCTTTTAGCATGCAGCAACACACATGTTTTAGCATATTAATAGACTGTGTTATACTCTTTCTGTGTATTTTCAAATTTGCTACTTTGGATTGATATTCATTGATTGTCTCATGGTTTGAACCGGAACCAAAACTCTGCTTATCTCAATAAGAGGCATGGATGAATAACTCATCCCTACCTGTAAGCTGAGATCAGTACTCATCTCATATAGATCAAACTTTTTAGTGCTTCCTTGAAGTATCATATTTATCTTGACAATATACAAAGAATTATGATCATATCAAAAGCACATCATTCAGAGGTGATCTTGCATGCTCATTATAACCTTTTCTTATTTCCAAGCAACTGATTTTGATGTCATTTATGCAAGAGAATGATCGTTCCCATTGATATACCAAATGAGCTGTGGTTTAAGCGGTAAGGCTTTAGTGAAGGATTTGAGGAGTTTAGTTTTAGGTGATAAATGGCCAAAATAATACTGGAGATCTGAGTTTTCAACGCAACTTAGGCCAAAATGTTCTTTTTTGAAGTAGCAAAGATATTTACTGAACACTGAAGAAGCCATGATATGTTTGATTCCATAAACATTTTCTAAAGAAAAAGATTCTGTAGCTAATTACAGTTGATGGAGATATTCGGCAGGGCACATAATCAGAAAATATCAACTGTTTAATTATTGGAAAATTATTGAATCAATTAATTCAGAAGTTGTATATGGAATGGAATGTTTGGTATTTATTCACAAGGTGTATAATGGATGTCCTTTATATAGTTTTTAAAAATATTTTCTTCTCAAAGGCATGATATAGCTAAGAAATTAAGAGAGAGAGAGAGAGACAGAGACAGAGACAGAGATAGAGAGAGCTCTTCTACTATGGTAGTTGTTAAGCACCATGAGGAGAATAGCACTGAGTAAATTTGAGCTATAGGTATAGTGCAAGAAAAGCCCATTTTTTCAATGAAAAAGTAAAAAAAAAAATTTTTTTTGACATCTGGTTTATATATTTTATATCCTATATGTTCTTTTTTTTTTTTTTCTGTGTTTTGGAAAAGAAAAAAAAATCACTTTTCCATATATCATAATGCATGAGTAATCTTGTGCTGAGTTTCTAAATGGTTTCTCTTTACCTTTTGCAGTCAACTTGATAACAACAACTTTAATGGGACTACAATTCCAGATTCTTATGGCAACATGTCTAAATTGTTGAAATTGTAAGTACTCTTCTGAATCTTCTGTCTACTAGTAGGTTTAGAAAACTATACAAATTAAAACTTCTTTCTGTCTCAAATATGACTTCACTTACCCTACTAGAATTACATGACAATTTTGAACAGGAAGTCCCATGGTATTCCACCATTGACATTATAATTTATGTCAATTAAGTATCAACTGAGGAAGCTAATGTTGTCAATTAGTTGTCCCTAACATTTAATGTTTTTAGAAGCTTTATATGGATACAATGACTAGTAAGCGTGCACTTGGATGTAATATAAAATCAGATAACTTTTTCATTTCATAAATGGTTGTCTTTCTGCATCACTTGGCTTTATCAGGAGCCTCAGGAGCTGTAGTTTGCAAGGACCAATCCCTGATCTAAGCAGGATGCCCATACTTGCTTATTTGTAAGTTCTTATATTTTCTGTTTTGTCATAAGTAATTGTATGATGCTATGGTTTTTCCATTAGGAAAATGGATCCAATGGTTTATTTCTCCTTATGAATTATATTATATATATTTCAGAGACCTTAGTTCAAATCGGCTAAATGGTACCATACCTACAAATCAGCTTTCTCAGAATATGACAACCATGTAAGATTCTTAATCTACCAATCTGCGTATCTCAGTGTTCTTATATTCCCTAAGAATTGATAATATTTTGAATCCTGTGGATTATGGCACTGATGTTTTCTGTGAATTTAGACACTTATTTATGTAAACAATATGTGCAGTGATTTATCCAATAATGAACTCACTGGAAGCATTCCTGCCAACTTTTCCAGCCTACCTAATCTTCAGAAGCTGTGAGCATTTTCTCCTACTTTTTTTAAGCCAAAATTTTTTTTTGTTATTTTCTTAATATGTGAATCGTAAATCCCTTTTTTTATATAGTGAGTTATTATTCATGGCAGGTTACTTGCCAATAATTCATTGAATGGTTCTGTTCTGTCCTCCCTTTGGCAGAACAAGACTTTGAATGCAACAGAGAGTCTTACCCTGTAAGCACCAAAGCAAGCAAATGTGCTTTAATTTTTTGCAATGCTGTCAACACTCTGGGCCTCAAACATTTTGGACCTGAGATGCTGAACTACAATGTTAATTTTCCTTGGTTGATTTCTGCACCATATGTGTTCTGATTTGTGGTCAAAGGTGCAACAATCATTCTTGTAGCATCTCGTTTTGCTAAGTAGTCATCTTTGGCTCTTTGACACTTACAGGGATTTGGAGAACAATAGGCTTACTAACATTTCGGACAGCATTAACCTCCCTCCAAATGTCACTCTCTGGTTTGCATCTAAACTTGCTTTAAAGTTTAACTCTAATGACTAGCATTGATATTTTGCACATGTTTTCTTCGTCAGCAATTAAATTTATCTTTACATTTATGTGTTTTCTCAATAAAAATTCAGTTTTTTTCTTTTGGTACTTTTAATGTCTATACTGCCTCTCTTAAATTATTATTGCACTGCTGGAATTAATTATGTCAACAATTTCAGGCTCAAAGGGAACCCTGTGTGCATAAATGACAATATAAATTTACGCCAGCAGTGTGCATCTCGAAGTGATAATGTAACTGGAAGTCAGTCTACAACAAACTCCACTGCTGTCTGTCAGCCTCAATCATGCCCGTACCCTTATGAATATTCCCCTACATCTAATTTATCTTGCTTTTGTGCTGCACCTCTTCTTATTGGATATCGGTTGAAGAGTCCTGGCTTTTCAGATTTTCCTCCATATACGATTAGATTTGAGGACTACCTTACCTCTGGTCTTGACTTGGATTTTCAACAACTATATATAGATTCGTTTGCATGGGAAGAAGGACCTCGACTGAAAATGTATTTGAAGCTCTATCCTGTTTATAATGCCACAAGTAACAGTCGTAATATGTTTAATATGAGTGAGGTTCAACGCATCAGGAGGATGTTCACAGGATGGCTTATTCCTGATAGTGACATATTTGGACCATATGAACTTCTCAACTTCAATTTACTGGACATCTATAATGAAGGTTTGTCTTGAAAACCTTATCTGTTGCATAGTTATATTTTTCTTGCAACTTTATGAGATATAAACATGAGAAATGTGAAACTGCATTACACCATAATAAATTAGTTGAAGTTTGTCCTTTATTATTTCCCTTAAGTTTCTGGATATATCATTTTACCTGGAAAAGCTATGAAAACTGGATAACTTGTTCAGCATCCTATTATGAGCAATAACATTTTAGTTATATTACCTTGAACATAATCATCCTTTACAACTAAAGCATAACTCTACGAACATTGAAACGTTCAGAATTTGATGATTCTATGAGTTACATTTCTGTATCCTCTGTATTGAAGGATGACTTTTCAAAAATGGCTTAATGCTCGTTTGTCGTAGTGACCTGGTTTTGCAGATTTTTGTGGTTGAAATTGGTGTTCCAGTCATAAAACCTTTTCTCTGGTTGTCTTGTAAAGATAATCTGCATCCAGGCCTCTTTATGCTCTTACAAAAATTTTCTTTTGTTAAAATAATTGGAGAATTAGAGGGTCTGGCCAGAAACTACACCTTGGGCCAACCACAGTTGGGCTGGTTACAACCTGGCAATAGTTGGTTGGGAAATCTTTTACAGCATATATTTCTCCACTTTGTGTGTACCACTTATAATGCTCAGGATGGTTGGTTTGAGTGATCAGTTGTGAGCCATAAGGAACCCAAATGGAAACTCCTAGTGGACAATGCCTCACTTGCCCGTGCAGGGATGACATATACCCAGCATCTGCTGCTTGTTTATGTCTGCAGATATAATAATGATGATGAATAACTTTTATTGTCTATTTGCATGTTCTTAATTCTCATTGATGTTTCAGGGACAGTCACCACTTCATCAGGTGGTATAAGCACGGGTGCACTGATTGGCATTGTACTGGGGGGCATTGCTGTTGCTGTTACATTATCTGCAGTTGTCACACTCTTAATCTTGAGAGTGCGTCTGAGGAACTACCATGCAATTTCAAAACGAAGGCATAGTGAGTATCTCAAATTTTTGAAATGGGATTTGCTTGACTATGTGAATCGCAATTTCCATCTGGACATTATGTAATCTGCAACCAAACATTCTTGTTTATGTTTCATCTTTTGAATTATTTTTTAATTATTTGTCTGGAAATTTGTGATTGAATGTGGTTTTTGTTTATCATATTTTTGTTCCAATGGACCAGGGAAAAAGCCTAGTTTCCAGCTATGATCTGTTGCATTCTTCCCCAAAAAATGTAGTGTTACATGTATGCATCATGCCTTTAATATCATTTGGCAGTTGTATTTGTTGTGTACACACTGGAGATTGATTTACTGCTTGTAGGTTCTCTTTTTCACCAAATATCATCCTATTCATCTCTTAGATATTTGTTCTAATTATTTTTTAGAAGAACTAGGGAGCTATGTTCCTCGGGCTCAAGGTGAGCGTCGGATATGGGTATGTATCTGACATGGGTATGCTTAATGTTTTTCTAAGTTTTTCCATATATTTGGAGGATCATACCCCCATACCCATGTCCAAATATGTGTTGGACACAGTACTCCAGGGAAAATGAAGAGTTGCACTAACATAGCTTGGGAGTATGCATTGAAAGATGGATCATCCTTATAAAGTTTGCTTTAACATTGAGCCTGTTTTTTGTACAGCTTCTAAGGCCTCAATTAAGATAGATGGTGTCAAGAGTTTTACTTACACGGAATTGGCCATGGCAACAAACAATTTTAACATCTCCACTCAAGTTGGCCAAGGTGGGTATGGAAAGGTTTATAGAGGCATTTTGGCTGATGGCATGGTAGTAGCCATAAAACGTGCACAAGAAGGATCATTACAGGGTGAGAGGGAGTTCCTTACTGAAATTCAATTATTGTCAAGATTACATCATCGAAATCTTGTGTCTTTGATTGGATATTGTGATGAAGAAGGCGAGCAGGTATTTGCACTCATCTGTTTCTGATTATGTATAATTTGTCAATTGTACATACTTATTCGCTATCACTTTGGAAATTGTGATTCACCTATGTTATCCTCGGCGGAGTCCCTTGTTCCTTCAACCTATCTATTGATTGACAAATGGAAGAACCATCATTGTACAGTTTCCATTCACTTATGCACTTATTAATGCAATTAAACAAAAATTTTCAAATTATTTAAATAAAAAACAAATCTGAAAGATGTAAAACCTTTTGAATAATAATTTTAACTGTAGCTAAAAAATAAAACAAGAAGATACATACACATAGATGGAGAGGTACAGTGAGGTTTTATCAACTTACATTTTGGCTCTTTTGTCACTTTTAACTGAGGCGAATACTTTCTTCTAACTTTATCCTTTATTAGCAATGCTAAGCGCCTAATGTTCTGTGCTACAGTATGCTAAGACTTGCTCTTCTTTGTTCCATCTTTTTATACTCTTCTTTACTCCCTCTTTGTATTTGTTGAAAATCATCATATAGTGAGAAACTACATGTGAATTCTTTTTGCACATGCAGATGTTGGTATACGAGTTTATGTCAAATGGCACTCTGAGGGATCATCTTTCTGGTACTTCTTCTATTGTTCAGTTGACTGTGCCTTTTAGACAATAAGGGAGTGCGAAATTAACTTTTTCTGGTTCTGCTAGTTTTTTATGCCAATATTAGATGCTTTAATCTAATGTTATATTCATATGATCAAACAGCTAAGTCTAAAGAAACTCTGAGTTTTGCAATGAGATTAAGACTTGCCTTTGGTTCGGCCAAGGGAATCCTCTACCTACACACAGAAGCTGATCCTCCAATATTCCATCGAGATATCAAGGCCAGCAACATACTATTGGATTCGAAGTTCACTGCAAAGGTTGCTGATTTTGGACTATCAAGACTTGCTCCAGTTCCAGATGTAGAAGGGGCAGCCCCTGCTCATGTATCTACAGTTGTAAAGGGGACTCCGGTAAATCTCATTTATTGATAGTTTCAAAGAAATAATGAAACTCATGAATTGTAGTTTGCAACCTGTTTTTTTATTTGACTTTTTTCTCTTTTTTATTTGGTATAATTTCTCTTTTCTCTGATTATATCACCATTCACCGGTGTTCTAGATTGAAACAGCAATGTTCTAGCACCTATGAGCCTTAGATGTCATAATGCCAGCATTTGGACAAGCTAGCACAGCAGTAGGGAATTTTTGGAAATATTAATAATAAAACGTTTCATGATGCAAGCCAGAATTTGGTTTAGGATGATGAAAAAACCTCTTTTATGCATAACTTTTAAGAGGTGCACCAGAAAATTGCTATGAGATTGAATTCAAAATTGGTGATATCGGCTTGTACCGTCTCTTGGAAGATGTAAGAATCAGGATGTGGTTACGTTTATTTTAGTATCTCCATCTCTAATATTTATTTTCTCTTGGCATGCAGGGTTACCTGGACCCGGAGTATTTCCTAACACATAAGTTGACAGACAAGAGTGATGTATATAGCCTAGGTGTTGTATTTCTAGAGCTATTGACTGGGATGCATCCAATCTCACATGGCAAAAACATTGTTCGAGAGGTAATTTCTTTATCTGCATCTCTTAACTTGAAATTCGGATTTTGATTACAGTGATATCCTCCACTTCACATGGGAAATATTAGGATGAAAATGAAAGTTATTGGATCATTACACTAAATGAGATGTAGGCTACATCTACTTTCTTTCCATTAAAATGAAGAAAGAAAAGAGCAGTGCTTTTGTTTTTCTCTTTAGGGGAGTTGTTGGGAACTAAGATCTTCTTATCTCTTTTGAGCCAATCTCTAATTCCTTGCATGGAATATCAGCAACTTCATCATTTGAAGATTTGATGATGTTCATGACTTAGATTGTTTTGTCTGTAATGTAATTTATTCATAATATGTAGTTTCAATGGGTATCAGGTTAATCTTGCATATCAATCTGGTATGATCTTCTCGGTGATTGATGGAAGAATGGGTTCTTATCCATCTGAGTGTGTGGAGAAGTTTGTGGCTTTGGCCCTCAAAAGTTGCCAAGATGAGACAGATTCTAGACCTTCAATGGCAGATGTGGTTCGTGAACTTGAAAACATATGCCTGATGATGCCAGAGTCTGACATGGGAGTCTCAGAATCCATTGACACTGTAGCTGGAAAGATGGCTCCAGTCACTCCATCAAGTTCTGTGGTGAAGAATCCCTACGTGTCATCAGATGTTTCTGGTAGTGACCTTGTTAGCGGAGTGGTTCCCACCATTACACCCAGATGAATGAAGGTGGAAGCTATTTTCTTGGTGAATGTTGGACCATAATTTCTACTTTCTTGGTTGTTTTGTCTTGTCTTTTCATATCATGTGTAGAACACAGAAATGGTTAGATAAGCCCTTACTCGTTTGCTAGCTTCTAACATATAGTAAGGGTCTGCTCTGCTTCTCCATTTCGTATTTGATTTTAAGGAGGTTAGTTAATAATATTTTGAATTTTATTTTATATATATCTTAATGTATATTATTAATACAAACAAGAAAAACTATCCGGTTACGTCCGGATTATAAATATTTTTATTTGGATGAAATATAAATTATATAAATTATATAAAATTTTAAGTTAATAATAAAAAATAATTTTTTTTTTTTTGGAAAATATAATCTTTTGAAAAAAAATAAATTACTATTACTCAAAATGTGTCACCTAATTGTAATTGGATAAATATTGGTTTTTATTTTAAATAAAGGAGATTTGTTTAAAATATATATATATATATAAATTAAATCAAATTTAAAAAATCAGTCGATGTAATATTTACTTATGAAATTAAAGCTTACTATTATCATAAGCCATTCAACTTAATTTTTTAAGAAAAATATCAATAATTTTAATATGATAGAAGGGGTATTATAATAATTTTGATTAATAATAAAAGAAGGGTATTTTGTAATTATGGTTGCAAGAATATTATAATGATTTCAATCAATTATGATAAATGAGGTATTTTAATAATTATATTAAAAGGGATATTATAATAATTTTAGTTAATTATACTAGTAGTATTAAAGTTGATTTAGATGTGTGTCGTTTAATTGTCAAACAATTAGATAGATATTATGATAATTTTTAAATGATCACTTTCATATAATTAAATGGACGTAAAAATTTAATACATAGTTATGAAGCAATAAAAAGTGTATTTTCGTAATTTTGACAAATAAAAATATTTTCGTAATTATGCTAAGAAAGGCATTATAACAATTTTGACAATTAATGGTAGAAAAACATCTTCGTAATTATGGTTGTAAAAGTATTATATTAACTTTGATTATTTATGGTAAGAGGGGTATTTAAATAAATATAATAAAAGTGACATTATAGTAATTTTATGTAATCATAGAAATAGAGGTGTTACAATATATTTAAATGAATGTAATTCAATCGTCAAATAATTAAAAAGGTATTATAATTATTTTTAAAATGATTAATTTCATATTATTATATGAATATCACAATTTAATGCATAATTATTGTAGACACCGATTTTATCCGGGTATACTGTTTTATTTTAATAATAATAATATTTAACAAAACAAACAAAAAATAATGAGAATAAAATGTGTGCATAAACATGAAAATATTTTGCATGGCATACATGACATTTTCTTACGAAAAATAAATTCGAGCCTCCAAATATGAGATTCTAAAAGTATTTCGAGTAGAGATGCTTTAAGAAATCTCTAGGTGAGAAAGAGTTCTTTTAATGTTACCAACGTACTGAAACATTTTAAGAATTATTTTAATAAAAATGTTTTAATTTATTCTTCTTGAGAATAATTTTTTTTAACATGACATTTTCTTACGAAAAATAAATTCGAGCCTCCAAAGATGAGATTCTAAAAGTATTCCGCGTAGAGATGCTTTAAAAAATCTCTAGGTAAGAAAGAGTTCTTTTAATGTTATCAATGTACTGAAACATTTTAAGAATTATTTCAATAAAAAGGTTTTAATTTATTTTTCTCGAGAATAAATTTTTTTAATAAATAAAAAAATCAAGAAAATTATTTTTCGAACACCGAAAATTGGATTATTTTTATCAAAATCAAAAGGATAACACGTTAATTGATACCGTTTTTAACGGGTACTGTGAGGGTGCTAATCCTTCCCCACACGTAACCGACTCTCGAACCCAGACTGTTGCGCAGATCCTAAAATTATCTTTTTAATAAATTTTAATTAATTTTAAGATTTCATTAAAAATATATGTTTTAATAGGTGACCAATCGCACCTAGCCAAAAAAGATTGGTGGCGACTCCGTTATTTTTTTATTTTGTTTTCAAATTCGTCGGACGGACACAAAACCGTTACGACAATTATAAAACAATCAAGAGAGCAATTTTGCAATTAGATTGAGAATGTATTTTGGTAATTTTGATCAATTATCATATGACATATATTTTCATAATTATAATAAAAGGGGCATGCATGAAATAATCAAAAAGACATTTTTTTTTGTGATTATGATTATGATGTATTATAGTAATTCAAGCTAATTGTGATACGAGAGGTATTTCGTAATTATGATAAGATGATATTTTTGTAATTATGACTAAAAGGTATTAAAGTAATTTTGACAAATTATAATATGAAGGGTATTTTTGTAATTATGTAAGAAGATATTTATATAATTATGATTATAGGGCATTAAAGTAACATTGGTCAATTATGGTAAAAGGGGTATTTTAGTTATTATGTTAATAAGAGCATTATAGTAATTTTACTTAATCATAGAAATAGGAATATTATAGTCAATTTAGATGCATGTAATTCAATTATCAAGTAATTAAAAGGGCATTCTAATCATTTATAAGGGGATTAATATTATATTATTATAATAATATTAAATTTTAAAACGTAATTATGAAGTAATCAAAATGATATTTTCATAATTATGCTTAAAAAATATTATAGTAATTTTGATCAATTATAATATGACGAGTATTTTTGTAATTATGATTAGAGGGTATTATAGTAATTTCAACTAATTATAATATAAGAAGTATTTTTTTTAATTATAGTGAGGGTATTTTTGTAATTATGATTATAAAGTATTATAATAATTATGGCAAACTATAATGCGAGATGTGTTTTCGTAAATATGATAAGAGAGGCATTATAATCATTTTGACAAATAAGGGTAGGAGGTTATTTTCATAATTATAATTATAGGGACATTATAATAATTTTTGCAAATTATGATAAGAATGATATTTTAATAATTATGTTAAGATATGCATTATAATAATTTTAATTAATCATTGAAATAAAGCATCATAGTTAATTTAGATGCATATAATTCATGTGAAATAATTAAAATGGCATTATGATCATTTTTAAGAAAATTAAGTTTGCACGTGACATCAATAATGATAAATATTTATGAAAAAATTTTATATTATAAATTAGAAAAATAAAACGAAAATGGAAAAAAATTCAAATATGAAGTCAACACATTTACTTATATAATTTTCTTTAAAAATGATCACATAAAAAAAATCAAACGTGTATTTTTAATAACAATATTGAATAGCCTATATTAAAAAAGGTCAAAATATAAAAAATCATGCAATTCAATTATCAAGTAATTAAAAAGATATTTTTGATAATTTTTAAAAAATTGAGTTAACATGCCATATAAAAAATGGTGAGTTTTTATAAAAAATTTCATATTATAAATGAAAAAAAAATTCTAATGTAAAGTCAACACATACACAAATATGATTTTTTTTTAAATGATCAAAGTAAAAAAAATCAAACATATATTTTTATTAATAATTTTAAGCTGCTCATATTAAAAAAGTCAAAATATAAAAAAGCTATTTAATATTAAAAAAAGAATAACAAATCAAACAACTTGATATGTTGTATATCAAAATGGATCTCATAAAAAAATTTAAATAAAATAATATTTATAAATTGAGTAAAATTAAAAAAAAAAATTAAAAAAATATTATGTACCCTTAATAGTAAATAAGTTTTAAAATCAAATCAAAATGAAAAAATAAATTTGGTTTGAAAAAAAAAAGGAAGAAGTAAAAAAAGTAAAAAAGAGAAAAATGAGCACAAGTGAGTTCCAAAAAATTTTTTTTTTTTAAATATTGAATATAATAAAAAAGAAAGAAATTTAAAAAATAGCGTGAAAAAAATTAAAACCAAAATCTAAATTTAAAAAATATGGCCACATCTTTAAAAAAAAAAGTGTGGGTACCACTAATAAAAAAATAATAATAAAAAGGATTGACTGAAAAAATGGGTCCATATCTTTATAAAAAAGTATGTAGGCCTCACACTCTTTTAAAAAAATATAAATAAGGTCCAAAAAAATTTATATATATGATATATATATATAATACTAAAAATAATTTACAAAATTATAAAATTTATCGATTCATAAACAAATATAGAACGTAAATATAATATATTAAATAAATAGTTTTTTTAAATTTATGAATTATATAAAAAACATAAATAAATCAATTGCTAAATAACATATTTTTCATCAAAATAATAAAAAAACCATTAAAAGAATAAAATTAAAACTTTGAGTTCAAAAGTTAATAATTTTTTAACTTTTTAATAAGTGATTCAAAATTAACTTTTGTGTTAAAAAATTGCATTATAACGTGAGAAAAAAATTTAAAATTAAATTAAAAGTGAAAATTATATAGAAAGAAGTTGTGATTAATTAAAAATTTGAAAAACATGTTTGATATTTAACTATAAATTTGGAATCTTATAAGGAAATTAGAAAATCAATTTGATTTTTGTTAAATTACTATGATTATGATGGTAAATGATTTACGCTTCACGATTCTTATAACAAATCTCTTGTTTTGAAGAATTTATAAGTAATAATTGATTGATATAATAAATAAATAAATAATAATATGATTTTACTCATTCTAAAATTATAATGCATAAACTAGGTATGCATAAAGAGATGCGCGCCCCACCTCTCTCCCATGTTATTAGGTTTTATAAAATTTTGATGAAGCTAAAGCACCTCTAACTTATATAACCATTCACCTCGGCTCAGCTCTCTTGTTATTTCTTTGTATGATGTTTATTAACCTCAATAGATGGAAGAACGCTTAAGCATTTAACTCGATAATAAGTTCATTTTATTTTTATTCAATAAGTTATGTGTGAATTTTTTAAAAAAATTAATGTGTCGAGCAATATTTAGATTACAGTAAAATATTCGTTATAATTTTTAAATTTTAAAAATATCATATTTAGTCTTTAAATTGTGATTATTTATTAATATGATATTTATTTTAATTTAATTAATTTTAAATGATGATATATAATAAATAAATAATTTTTTAAAATATATTAATAATTAATATATTTGTAATTTAGATATCATATTCTAAAATTTTTTAAATTTAAAAAACACCATTAAATATTTCACATCAGTACTAATTTTGGTTCATAAAATGCTTGAATTAATTAATAATAGAGAAGATTATGATAAGATGGTGCTAGAAAAAACCAAAATATTATACTGCTCAAGTATTTATATAGTACCAATAATAAAAAGAAAAAATAATTTAAAATTTTGGTAAAGTCTGGTCCAACCCAGAACTCACATTAGTTGGTCTAACAAACAAACAGCTATGGCCCAATAGTTGTGGGCTGAAGCAAAAGTAAAAAGGAAAATAATGACGGCATGACGCAATCGCACACGTATGAGGCCGCGTTGGACGTATTAGTTTTAGCTAGGGTGTCTGACCTGACCTCCTTACCAAACTATAAGTACACCTTTTCCTCTCATTTATTTGTCTCACAATTCTCTACGGTTTCTAATAGTTTCAGTTCCAAACGCAGATTTTCAAAGATCTACCGCCATGGGGAGGAGTGAGTATCTCTCTCTCGTTTTGATTTTGAATGTGTAATTGGAAATGAATGATTGCTCAACTTTCTTAAGTTTCATGTTAGGGTTTATATGTTTGCTTAGAGAGCATGGATGGATGTTTTATTTTTCTTTTTTTTTTTTTTAAAGAATGAATAATGACGGTTTATCTTTCTATATGGTCTGTTACATCTTTGATTGGATGTGCCAAACCAATGAGACTGGTGATTTTGTGTTTAAATTAGAAATTTATGCCCGCTTTTACCTTTACCCGTGTTGGTTACATTTTCTTCTATCCTGCAATACCACACCAATGTTTCTCCTGTTTTCATTTTCGGACTTGTGGGTGAAATCTTAATGAGATGACGGTGTCGCTGAATTCTGTGACTAAATGGATGGATTGTCTGCAGTTAAATGTTTTTAATTTATTTGCCATCTTTTAATTAGGGATATTTTTACTCATCTGCTGTTTGTTGATGTATCCTATGTAATGAATAAAATTATTTCAAACTGCCATGACCCTACCTTCACATTTGGGAATATATCCCCCCTGTAAACATTGAAAATTTTCTATACTCATGTTTCCTTGTTATTTGTTCATCTATCTTCTTCGCAATGTGCTATTTTTATTCTCCTTTTGTAATCTTGCTGTTTCCCTTGAACTATCCCTTTTTTCTTTACTTCTCAAGGGTTCTGTTTTTTGCTTCCACTTTTAATTATATTGCTTCTAGGCCGCCTTGGTAAAGAACTTGTGGTACTTGAATGATTTTCCCTTGTGGAATAATGACATGTTCATTGCCATTTCTTAAAAAGAAAATTGATAAAATGTTGTGGCTGATCTATCAATAGCTTAACTGATTTAGGTGGGAAATGCATTTCTAAATAAAATTTTATGACGTGAAGGGATCTGTCTGCATGTTTTAAAACCATTTAGCAAATAAAGTTTCCCACTTTCACTGTCCTTACTCAGGGGATCTGAGTTTAGGTTTGCAGCTAATGCTTGGCTTCGTGGATTAATCTTTCAAATATTGCCTGACATTTTAACGGATTTTCTAATAGAATTCAGGATATGAAATTTGTTGATTTACTATAGCAAACTTCTCTAATTAAAAGTTTAATGGTTTTTTGGTTTGCAGGACCTGCAAAGTGTTATCGTCAGATAAAAAATAAGCCTTACCCAAAGTCACGGTATTGCCGTGGTGTTCCTGATCCAAAGATCAGGATTTATGATGTGGGGATGAAAAGGAAAGGTGTGGATGAGTTCCCTTTCTGTGTGCACCTGGTATCTTGGGAGAAAGAAAACGTCTCTAGTGAAGCTCTGGAGGCTGCTCGAATTGCTTGCAACAAATATATGGCCAAGTTTGCTGGAAAGGATGCTTTCCACTTGCGAGTCCGTGTTCACCCATTCCATGTCTTGCGTATCAACAAGATGCTTTCCTGTGCTGGAGCTGATAGGCTTCAAACTGGTATGCGAGGTGCTTTTGGCAAGCCACAGGGCACTTGTGCTAGAGTAGCCATTGGTCAGGTTCTCCTTTCTGTTCGTTGCAAGGACAGCAACAGCCATCATGCACAGGAAGCCCTTCGCCGTGCAAAGTTCAAGTTCCCTGGTCGCCAAAAGATTATTGTCAGCAGGAAGTGGTATGTAATTCACTTGTCATAACTGCTTTTGTTCTTTTACGGTTCCTTTTTAAAATGATTTCATAATTTTTATCTTATGGTAATTATTTGGCATTCCTAGTGACTTGCTCTTTTCTAATATTCAGGGGTTTTACAAAGTTCAGCCGTACTGATTATTTGAAATACAAGTCAGAGAATCGGATTGTTCCTGATGGTGTTAATGCTAAGGTTAGTCTTGGATATATATCTTACTACTTTTTGCCCTTCTTGGTGTTTTTTATTAGGTTATAATGAGCTTATTTTGCATTGGGGGGCTTCTTGTTGGCAGGCAGGGAGTTTGTTAATTATATCTTACAATGAACTTATAAGACTTGTTTTCGGCCTTGCAGCTTCTTGGATGCCATGGACCTCTGGCGAATAGAGAACCAGGAAGAGCATTCCCGTCTGCTACTGCTACTGCTTAATATCTTAAGTTGCTCAAAATCTGAAAGTACTTGACCGAGTCTTAATAGTGTTTTGAGGCTTTATTTATCATTAATGCTAGTGCATGATGAAAGAACTTTTGTTTTGTTGAATAGAATAAATAGGCTTATCCTTCAAACTTTAACTCATGTCTTTGCTCAAAAAATCTGATAATTGTTCTATTACTTTCATTATACCGCGTTTCAAGTAACTCTACTTTTTTTTAAAGGTTAGCAATCACTTGGCAATGTTGTGTATTTTGCAACTTTTATATGCATGACGAGTATTAATTGTTTACGTTCTTGTATAATTCTCAGTTATGTATATTTTGCTACTCTGTGGTCTATACTCGGCTGTTGGGCAATTATTATTTTGATTAAAATTATGATTCAAAATTTATAGTTTTTAAGGCTCTGGCCGTGTGTTTTGATTCCTGGTCATAAAATCTGATCTACTTGTGTAGACACTAAATAAAAGAATAGTTGTCCAAAGAAATAATAATAGAAAACGACATTTGGCTCATAATATTAGTATCTAAAAGCGTACATTTCTGTGTTTTTCCACCCCCTTGTTCCTTTTGCCTCTATTAGCTTCCAATTGGTATAACATGATGATGGTGGCAAATTGCCAATGATAAAAAGGAAGACAAATGCCAATGATAATAGTAGTTTGCTTCATTTTTAATATATTAAATAATTTTTTTAAAAAAATATTTTTAAATTATGAATCTACCTTTAAACTGTTAATTTTATATTTATTTAGTTCAAGAAAACATTATGTACATAAACCTTTTTAAATTCATGACTTTTAAAAGTATATTTCAATATCTTGTTAACTTATTCAAAAATTAATTGCCTAATATTTTTAAATTATTAAATTTTTTTGTTTTGGTGAATAAAATATTAAATATAATATAAGTAGTTTTAGAGCAGTTTTTAGCAAAAAGTTACGACTGATAATGCGAGGAGAATATTAATAAAATAGCATTCTTGCTCCAACTTCCTGCCATGGTCGCGTGCAAATAGGAGTAATTTTTCATCTTATATATGTATATTTATTTAATACATTCATTTTACACACTTATGTAATATAACAAATAGAGTTAGTAAGTAATAATTGATTGATATAATAAATAAACAAATAATAATACGATTTTAATCTTTTTAAAATTATAATACATAAATATATACCCATGATCATAAATATTAAAACAATGCTAAATAAACAAAATTCTTAATGTGACTCTCAACAGGTTAATAGATTTTAATTGCCACAAAAAAAAAAAACTTTATAATACCTTTTTATTGGTTTTTCGCACCTATGTCATTCATATTTCAGAATGTTATTAATTAATATAACTAAATCCACCAGACTTAATGCATTCATATTAAAAACAGAGCTTATAAAATTATTTGACTTTTTTAACATCCACAAAGGTTCTTTAAATTTTAAGAGGTCAAAAATCCCTTTTTAACTTGTATAACCATCCATCTCTACCTCATGTTATTACTGGTTTTTAAAATTTTTGAAAGTTCAAAACCCCATCTGATTTCTATAAACCATCCGCCTCTGCTTAGCTCTTTTGTCAAGTACCGCAACATCTGATTCACTTATCCAACCAAATATCAAATTAAACTCAACAAATTAAAAATATAAAAATGTTAGCGATTATGCATTCGTTAATTATTTGTTTGATGTTTATGAATCTCAACAGATGGAAGAGCACTTTGGTATTGACTCAATAATAAGTAAATCTTATTTTTATTCTTTGTTTGATGTTTATGAAAGAATGCTTTGGCATTTGACGGGAAGTAAATCATATTTTTATTCAAAGAGCTAAGTGAGAATTTCTTAAAAGAGTTAATGTCTCCAGCAATGTTTAAATTAAAATAAAATATTTATTATGATTTTTAATATGATATTTGAATTAATATGATATTTATCTTAATCTAATTAATTTTAACTAATTATATATGATAAGTTGACAAATTTTTATATACGTATTAATTAATAAATTTATAATTAAATATTATATTAAAATTTTTTAAAATTTAAAAATTATATTAAATATTTCACGTCAGTATTAATTTAATAGGAGAGAAGATTATGCTAAGATGGTGCTAGAAAAAATCAAATTTCCTACCGTTCAAGTATTTATATTACTGATAATAAAAGAAAAAGGAATTAAAAATATTCCTAAAGTCTGGTCCAACCCCGAACTCCCATTAGTTGGGTCAAACAAGCAAACAGCATTGGCCCAATGGTGGTGGGCTGAAGAAAAGGGCAAAAAACAAAAATGACGGCATGACGTAATCACACACGTATGAGGACGTGTTGAACGTGTTAGTTTTAGCTAGGGTTTCTAACCTGACCGCCTTACCATACTATAAATAGAGCTTTTCCTCTTTTTCTCTTTCAATGTTCTAGGGTTTCCATCAGTTTCAGTTGCAGCCGCAGATTTTCAAAGATCTACCGCCATGGGGAGGAGTGAGTATCTCTCTCCCGTATTGTATTTGAACGTAATTGGAAATCAATGATTGCCCAACTTTCTTTGGTTTCATACTAGGGTTTATATGGTTGCTTAGAGAACATCGATGGATGTTTAGTTTTTTCTTTTTTAAGAATGAATACTGATGGTTTATTTTTCTATTTGGTCTGTTACATCTTTGATTGGATGTGCCAAAACAATGAGACTGGTGATTTTATGTGTTTAAATTAGAAATATATGCCTGCTTTTACTTTTACCTCTGCAATCTTGCAATACCACACCAATATCTCTCCTTTTTTCATTTTAGGTCTTGTGGGTGAAATCTTAATGAGATGATGGTATCGCTGAATTCTGTGACTAAATGGATGGATTGTCTGCAGTTAAATGTTTTAAATTCATTTGCCATCTCTTAATTAGGGATATTTTGGCTCATCTGCTGTTTGTTGATGTATCCGATGTGATGAATCAAATTATTTCAAACTGCCATGACCCAACCTCCGCATTTGCGAAGATGTCCCCCCTGTAGACATTGGAAATTTTCTATACTTGCGTTTCCTTTTTATTTGTTCGTTTATCTTCTCAATATACATTTTTTATTTTCCTTTTGTAATTGTGCCTGTTTCCCTTGAACTATACTTTCTTTCTTTACTTCTCAAGTGTTCTGTTTTTCTGCTTCTGTTTTTCTGCATCCGCTTTAATTATGTTGCTTCTAGGTCTGCCTTAAAGAACTGGCTGTACTTAAATGATTTTCCCTTGTGGAATAATGATATTTTCATCACAATTTCTTGAAAAGAAAATTGATAAATTGTTGTGGCTGATCTATCAATAACTTAATTGATTTAGATGGGAAATGCATTTCAAAATAAAATTTTGTGATGTGAAGGGATCTGTTTTGTGTTTTAAATCCATTTAGTAAATGAAAGTTTCACACTTTCACTGTCCTTTCTGCTAATGCTTGGCATTGTGGATTAATCTTTCGAATATTGCCTGCCATTAAACCACTTAATGGAATTTTTTTAACAGAGTTGTGGGTATGAAATTTGTTGATTTACTATATTAAACTTCACTAATTAAAATTCTAATGGTTTGTTGGTTTTCAGGACCTGCAAGGTGTTATCGTCAGATTAAAAACAAGCCTTACCCAAAGTCACGTTATTGCCGTGGTGTACCTGATCCAAAGATCAGGATTTATGATGTGGGGATGAAAAGGAAAGGTGTGGATGAGTTCCCTTTCTGTGTGCACCTGGTATCTTGGGAGAAAGAAAACGTCTCTAGTGAGGCGTTGGAGGCTGCTCGAATTGCTTGCAACAAATATATGGCCAAGTTTGCAGGAAAGGATGCCTTCCACTTGCGAGTCCGTGTTCACCCATTCCATGTCTTGCGTATCAACAAGATGCTTTCCTGTGCTGGAGCTGATAGGCTTCAAACTGGTATGCGAGGTGCTTTTGGCAAGCCACAGGGTACTTGTGCTAGAGTAGCCATTGGTCAGGTTCTCCTTTCTGTTCGTTGCAAGGACAGCAACAGCCATCACGCACAAGAGGCCCTCCGCCGCGCTAAGTTCAAGTTCCCTGGACGCCAAAAGATTATTGTCAGCAGGAAGTGGTATGTAATTCACTTGTCATAACTGCATTTATTCTTTTACGAATCCTTCTTTTTAAAATGATTTCATGCTCTTTTATCTTATGGTAATTATTTGGCATTCCTAGTGACTGGCTCTTTTCTAATATTCAGGGGTTTTACAAAGTTCAGCCGTACTGATTATTTGAAATACAAGTCAGAGAATCGGATTGTTCCTGATGGTGTTAATGCTAAGGTTTGTCTTGGAAGTTAAATCTGACTACTTTTTCCCCTTGGTGTTGTCTATTGGGTTGTAATGAGCTTATTGGGCTTCTTGTTGGCAGGCAGAGAGTTTTTTAATTATATCTTACAATGAACTTATAGTACTTGTTTTCGGCCTTGCAGCTTCTTGGATGCCATGGACCTCTTGCGGATAGGGAACCGGGAAGAGCATTCCCGCCTGCTGCTGCTTAAGATCTTAAGTTGCTCTAAATCTGGAAGTACTTGGCCGAGTCTTAATTGTGTTTTGAGGCTTTATTTATCATTAATGTTAGTGCGTGATGAAAGAACTTTTGTTTTGTTGAACACTTAATTGATCTATTACTTCCATTATACTGTGTTTCAGGTAATTCACCTTTTTTTTTAATGGTTCGCAATCAATTAGCCATATTTTGGATTTGGTTGTTTACGATCTCATGTAATTCTCAGTTATGTATATTTGGTTAGTTGTTAGGCAATTATTATTTTGATTAAAATAATGATTCAGAAATTACAGGTTTCAAGGCCTTGGCCTTGTATTTTGATTCATCATCGTAAGTCTGATCTTCATAAACACAATGAAAGAATAGTTGTCAAAAGAAGTAATAATAAAAAATGACATTTGGTACTACTAATAATAGTACCTAAAAGCATACGTTTTTTTCCTCCCCCTTAATCCTATTGCCTCTACTAGCTTCCGATTGGTATAACATGATGATGGTGCCAAATTGCCAATCATAATAGTAGTTTGCTTCAGTTTTAATATATTAATTAATATTTTTTAAATTCTGATTCCATGGTGGATAAGTTCCCTTTGTGTGCGCACCTCGTATCTTGGGAGAAAGAAAACGTCTCTAGTGAAGCTTTGGAGGTTGCTCGAATTGCTTCCAACAGATATGTAAGTTTGCAGGAAAGGATGCCTTCCATGCGAGTCCGTTCATCCGTTCCATGTCTTGCGTGTCAACAAGATACTTTCCTTTGCTGGAGCTACTAGGCTTCAAACTGGCATGCGAGGTGCTTTTGGCAATTACAGGGCACTTGTGCTAGGGTACACTGGTCACGCTATCCTTTTCGTTTGTTGCAGCGATATTACACTTATAAATTATTTTAATTTCATATCTTTCAAACGTTAATTCTAATGTCAAATTAATTGCTTCAAAGATAAATTGATTAATACTTTTTAAATATTAAATTTTTGTTTTGGTCAATAAAATAGTAAATATAATATAAATAGTTTTAGAGCAGTTATTAGCAAAAAGTACAAGTAAAAATGGGAGGAAAATATTAATAAAGTAGCATTCTTGCTCCAACACCCCACCATTGTCCCATGGAATGAGGAGTAATTTTTCATCTTATGTATCCTTTCACAACGAGAAATAAGAAAGAAAGCCCATAAGCCCAAAATTATAATTTGTAAGTGAAGTGATAGGGATTATGGATCCATCCAGTGAGAGTAAATAGTAAAAAAAAATAGTAGTGCGGTAAGTAATGTGTGATTATACAGTGTATGTGAATGGGCCTATGGGCTTCTGTAAGATGCAAGTGAAGTAGAAATGGGGAAATAGGTGTAGAATTGGATTAGAAATTAGATGATAATTGGTGGGCGGTGAGGGTTGACGTCGTATTGCTGAGTGGCTGAGTAACCAGAAAACAGTGTGAAACAGGTTTTTAAGGGAAACTTCGAAATTGAAAGAAATTTCCTTTCGGCCTTCGGGAATTGGGAGTAAAAATATAGATTGGGACTTGGGAGATTGAAGCAGGAACTAAAAAAGTAGAGTAAATGGATTGAGCAAAGAAACAGGAATAGGAAATGGCTTACAGAAGGAGGCAGCAGCAGCAGGGAATCTCGACATCAGCAGCAGCAGCAGATGATTTGGTAGATGTAGAAGTGGATGCGGCCAAAGCCATAAGGGCATCTTCCGCCCACAAAGATTCTTCTCTCTCTTCCGCTTACGGCTATGGTTCCCTTCATTCCTCTTCTGCCTCTCCTCTCTACGCCGCCACCGCTACACCCACCCCCAAGGTTTTTTTTTTCTTCTTTCTGTTTGAACTACGTTGTATTTCCGTGCATATTATAATCTTTTTCCTAATTGTTCTGTAAAAACCCCCAACCTTTGTAACGGGTATAACTGGCTGTGACTCCAGGATTTCCCGTCCCACGAATACGAATCCATGAAAAGTTTAAATGAATCCAAGCAAGGATTTTGGGGTTCTCTTGCTAGAAAAGCTAAAGCCTTTTTGGATGATGATAATGTGCAACACGAATTTGAGTCCGATGGACGACCTAAATCAAAGCTGCCTCAGAGGCAAACGCCAGAAAAGGTCAGAATCCAACATTATGCTCTTGGTCGCTACAGTACGAAGCAGCAGCTTCTTGACACGCTTAATTTCCTTTTCCGTTCCAATTTCTTACGGCTGTTTTACGTTTGATTTTTTTTTTTTGGGTTCTGATGATTGAGTCATATAATCACTTGTTCTAAATAAAACTTTCTCAAGTGTTGGAGCATTGTGTGAAATGTTTCTTTACTTGCTAACTTATGAGGTTTGGTTCTTCCTACAGTACCATAATATATACCAGTCACATGATAGGCAGCACAAAACAGACAATCCCACATTGCAGAGGCAGCACAAAACAGACAATCCCACATTGCAGAAGGGCCTAGGTGCAATTGCATCATCCCTGAATTACATTGGTAATGCTGTTGAGGTCAGTTATTAAATCCCCTTACTTTTTGTTGGTATTAAATATATAAATATTCCTAGTGTGAGTTAGCATTTATTTTATAAATTGGTTGTAAATAATTACAAAGGAAAAAAATTTGAAGGGCTGTTATGCTCTCTTTGGCACTTTTGATCTATTTAAACTATTTCATATGACACATTTCTTGGTAGCCAAATGTTCACCGCTTGTCAATCTATTTACATTTTCCCTGTCTTAGAACTTTCATGTCTCTCTTGTATGTTGAAATTGTTTACTAACCTTTAGTTATTCATTCTTCTTTGCTTTTGCATTTCAGGAGGGTCTTACAATTGTGGAGAACCGGACTGCAGGCATCATTCAAGAAACCCGCAAGCACATAAGGAAAAAGCCTAGTGGTTCTGGGGCACAAAATCAGGCTGCTAAACAGCCACAAATGCAGCACCATGTACGAACACCGGGGCAAGCTGATCAAGAAATTCAATTGAAGGCATCTCGCGACGTAAGGTGGCAGCTGTGTCACTGATTCATATGATGGATGTATTTTTCTGTGTGCGTTGTTCTTAACCTGTGATTTTCTAGCTCAAGAAGCCTCATTACCAGATTGGTTTAACAATATAAAAGTGATGCAAATGTTTTGAATGTGCATAAGAATATGAGATTGTTCCTTCTTCCTTGTAATGAATTTCTTATATTTGATGTCACCGTTTGGCAAGGATGTCTTGAAACCTTTTTCAAAAGCTGTGTATTAGTTAAGTTATAGTGGCAAATATATAAGACCAGGAACCATATAAAATAGAATACAGAATTTTCACTTTTCTTCATGTGGAAGATGGGTGTGGTTTTATGGAGGATGTGAAATAAATTGGTGTGATCTTTATCTCTACGTAATAGCTTTTCATTGAAAATTGGATGCATGATTTAGCTCTTTAATTTTATAATAGGTTGCAATGGCTATGGCTGCCAAGGCAAAGCTTCTTCTTCGAGAGTTAAAAACTGTCAAAGCTGATTTGGCTTTTGCAAAGGAGAGATGTGCTCAGCTGGAGGAGGAAAATAGAATCCTTCGTGAGAATCGTGAAAGAGGAGACAACCCAGAAGATGATGAGTTGGTATTCAGTTTCCTCATCATTGTATCCTCTTATATTTATATTCAATTTATGGTTTTACTGCTCAGCAGGATCTGAAAGTCTTCTTTGTTTGGGATAGGGTTAAAATTTACCATTTTATTTAGAATGATAGATCAATTTATCGCTGGTTTTGGGTGAGTGCAATTTTAACATTGTACTTTTAATTTGGTTAAAAAATGGTCAAAAGTTAATCATCCAGAATATTAGATGGAATATTCCTTGCCATTTTTAAACCAAATAAAATATGCAGTTAATACTGAACCTGATTTTCTGCCACAATAAGATGTTTGATAGAAGCTGTGTGTATCATTTTCTGGTACCTTCCTCTTCTGCTACGTTGAAGTTGTGCTGCGTGTTACCATCTTACAAAATGTTGCTTGCATGCAGCATGAATGCCTTCTATGGCATAGATAAGCCACATTGGCTTGCAGCACAAAGTTAAGCTCTAAAATGGAGTCAACATAATTAAACTTTCTGGCTAAGCTTTTCTTTGAGATCTTCTTATATGTTAATTCCATTAACATGGTTAGAGTTTTTCTTTGTGTGGATTGAAAGTGATAATGGAAGCAATTCAGTTTTCAACATGTAAACCATTCCAAAATTTTGATTCTTTTCTATTTCCACTTTCAGATACGTCTTCAACTTGAGACGCTGTTGGCAGAGAAGGCACGACTGGCTCATGAGAATTCTATCTATGCACGTGAGAATCGCTTCCTGAGGGAGGTTGTTGAATATCACCAACTCACTATGCAGGATGTTATATATTTGGATGAGAGCACTGAAGAAGTCACTGAAGTTTACCCTATCAAGGTACCATCATTACCCAATATGAACTCCATGCCTGCTACATCAAGTGCATTACCATCTGAGTCATCTCTTGACACAAGCCTGCAAATAACTCGGAATATCTCTGTCTGCCCTGTGCCACCCCCGGAGTTTGCAGAAGGTTCCCAAAGTTCCACCCAGCCAAGCTCTCAAGTTCATCTTTAGGTGGCAAAGTATGCTAAATAGACATCCAAACTTTCGGTTTGGCCTCATTCCTCGTTTAATATATATTATACATTTATGAAGAATTAAGATGTTAACAATAGTCTTTGATTCACCTTTCTTATTGGCATTTTCCTGAATTGTTTAATTATGATCGTTCCCGTCTTGGTTGGTATATGGGGTTCTATAACGTTTCGTTGTGTATTTTAAGCCCTTTGGCTTGATGAATTGATGGTCTATTTCTGAAAGATATTGTGGTTTTATGCAGTGATAGAAACAAACTCAAGCTATTATTATGCTGAACAATAAGGTTTGAAATGCAGTTTCTCTGAGTTTCTTCTATCATTTTGATTGATTTTGGTTGTTAAACGTACGTGAGCTGGTACTGATGATAAGGACTGAACATCATGACCATAAGCTCTCTATAGCTGCAGCATTTAATGCTATGATGTAGTTTGGCAGTTTGGCGTATGGCCATGCATAAAGCCTTGATTGATTCTTTTTTTTTTTCTTTTAACACAATCGATTATCAAGTGCAATGGTGGCATCCATTTTGGTTCAGTGCTGGTTATAACTTGTGAGATTAGATGACAAGAGGACCAGAACAATCATGTTAAATGATCAAAATCTATCTCACAAAAGTTATTCAGCGTATAAATTTATTTCATAGCAGCTAATAGCTGCAAATATATGGACATATAGTTGAACCCCTAACGTTATTGGGTCCTCCAAATTACTACCGCTTTACACGAAAACAGCAAAGCAACTTATATTTACCGGTGAAGCCGGGCCATAGAAGGAGAGATCATATGGAATGGCGTCTGGTTCATAACAACCGGCAAACTTTTAGAACAACTGGAATGCTAGATTAGTTGATCCATCAGCATATGATCTGATACCGTCTGGTTTGACCAATCTCCTACACAATGGGCACGTCCTTTCTCGTTCAAACCTAAAATCACGCATGATACATTCCTCTTGAGAACACAAGTAAAAAGACCAACACATAAGTGTATGACCTACAAACTGTTGGAAACGGAGGCAAAAATTAATTTGCGAGCATATAAGAGTTCAGATTTAGGGCTGCTGCAGCCACAAATTTAGTTTTCTTGCAGTAAGTATGTAAGGTTAGCTCATGCAACTGTGTGAAGCGGTAAGTATGCAAAGATTGTTAATGTTCAACAAAATGCAATTTTAATATTCATGAAATTTAAATGAGTTCAACAAACATTGACAAAAGGTTTTGGAGCAACTAGTTAAAATTATCCTTCACAAATTGTAAAATTCATTCTTCTCTCCATTGGAATTGTAACATCTGATGTATGCTTTGCAGTTTGAAGCCTCCATTGGAATACTGTTTACGTAGTTTATATCCATCTTAAACTCAACATGCACTACTGACATGACTTGGTTTAGAAACCATGGCCATGTATGTTTCTACGGTTGAATATACCACATAATTAGGTGTTATTTATCTTAAAGTTCTCAACTCTGAAGCAGCTGCAGAAATCAAACATATGTTGCATTGAGAAGCAAAAACCTTCAAAATCATTATCACAAATACTGTTCTACATGCCTTAGGTTTGCAAAGGTGAAGAGTACTCCGTATTCTTTTATGCAGATTTAGGTTAACGCATTGATGAGTGGAAAGAAAGTTGTGTTTTGTGTGTCTAATAGAAGTATTGATCTTCATATAGATAAAATGGAAGTGAAGAAATAACCATTCTGACACACAGTCTTCACAGAAGATGTGTTTACAGCGAAGTAAAATTGGAGCGTGCATCTTCTCCTGGCAAATAGCGCAGAGATCCCCTGCTGCCTTGACCTGCGCTCACTTGTTAACATTTATATGCAAGTACAGCAGAAGAAACATTTACATATAATTGAAAGATCAGATCCATAAAGTATCAGAAGTGAATATGGCAGCTGCCACTATCAAGTCAGACACTTTGTCAATGATGTTCGGTCTTATTTTCCTTTACTTTTCTATAATTGTTTCTACCTTAAGTGTTGTATCTAGTGGTGCAAATTCAAAAGGGAAAGGTATAATAAGTGGTGATAAACATCAATCCAACATCGATTAAATTTGACGTATCTCGGCCTCCCACTTGTTAGTCCACATTGGTTTATTTTTTAGGACCAAGGATATATAAAGACTATATAAAGGCCTGGGAGGGATACCTAAATTTGTTTTTATCCACATTTAATAAGTTGCAAAGATGAAGCAAACAAACTTTAGACAATAAAGGCCAAAGTTGGCCTAAAGCAGTCTAATTTTGAAAATCTCAAGAGCATAGCTGGAGACTCGGAAAACTATAACCTTCACCAAGAATTCTAATTAAGTCCATCCAGAATTACCAGGCTAACACCTTACACAGAGAGCCTAAAATGGTTCTGGATATAATGTCAAGGGTAGTTGGTACTTTGCAACAAAGGCTATATCCCTAGGGGAGATAAGCAGATTTGATCAAACTGTGCGGGTGAGATCGAAGTGCTGAAGCATGTGTGGATAAGGTGACAGTTCGATGCAGTAACTTTGTAGCCAAAGTCATAGTTAGGGGAGAGAGATGAAAATTTTTGGTATTACTGCTCAATAAAGACCCACTAACCTGCTCAGATGTGGCACGAGATCCATAATGCACCTCTGGATTTGATAAGACCCTCGATGCAGCAAAGAATAATTGAACCTTGATATTACAGTAATGTTCGTGAATAATGAGCTATAGATGGTGCTTTGCATGTGGTTTTTAAAGCATAAGCTTGATAAAGTTGTACGTCAGTGGATACCTTCTCTATACTGGATGTAAGCTTGAAGGTCAAGTACAACCCCGTAGTTAATGAAGAAAAAAAGCTGCCATATTTTTTGTCAAGAAAGAACCTATACCATACAGGTGTTGGCAACAAAGTGCGGTATAGCAACAGGAAATACTCAACAAGAGTTAGCATTTGACCCTGCAAAGCCCTCATATTCTAATTAGAGAAATTGATTTATAGGTGAGAGGGAAAATGCAAATATTCAAACTATATGAGTTATGATGTTGAATATTTAATCTTTAAATAACTAACCTGTTTACGGTAACTGTGGCCTTCGCTATTCTTGTAATGTATCAAAAGCACACATTTGAAGGCCATGGCTGTCTGCTGCACCATAACATCTGTAAATGGGAATATCCCATGCATGAGAATATGAAGGCATCACCAAAATAATGAAATCAAAGACGATAAGGAAGAACTTCCAACAAGAAGACCTGATAATTTTCTACTTACCAATACCATTCATTATTTATGACAAACATACAAGTTTCTATCATGTAGCAGTCATATATAGATATGTTAAGTGTCAACGGTAAATTGTTTAACCTATGATCCAAGCAAGGCAGCTTTGAAAATGTGAAACATCATAAATTGAACATATATATATATATATATATATATATATCTATATCTTTGTGTGTGTGTAATTGGAAACTTCCATAGCAGAAAACAAAATGCCAGCAGTATATATATGAAATTGAACTATCTATGGCCCTAGTTGTTTTTTCTTTGGACATCCAAAACTCAAGTATTTTATTTTGACTTAGGTTTGGTTATATCCTTCACAGAATAAAAATGATACTCTTTTGTTTATTGGAGCAAATTATAAAGGCATAAAACTAGGCAAACACAAGTTTTTCCAGCCATTTTGGAGAAAGAGATGGACTAGTAATGTTTACCATTCACCATGATGATAAATATTGAATGCCAGAAAGGGGGAATCTGCTTTGGAGGAAGAAAAATCAAAGGGTACAGAAGGTCGTCATTTCGATACCACCAATAAACAGATATCACATGGAGCATTAAACTGATTGCGATGCTCAGAAGAACATATATCCTTCTCTGCTCCTGCAGAAACAAGAACCTTATAAGCTCAGAGAAGAAATGCTTTATAAAGCCAATTTAACTTACTCTAAATTGAATCTAAAATCTGTCTGTAAGTGGAAAGCAAGATGCAAGATAGGGTACCTTTAATGCCGCCTGCTTCTGCAAGATATCATTTGATTTGAAGATGAGTGCAGCAATCCAGATTGCAGCAAAAAAGCCTGAAATTCGGGGCAGCAATAGAAAATTACAGGCTGAAGTAACTGATATCAATTTATTACTTTCACCCACATTCTAATTAAGGTTTTGGTGAGTGGGTGAGACAGAGAAAATTACCTTGCAAATGTTGTCGAATAAAAACAAGAAGAAGAAGCAAAAAAAAAGGAAGAATGTGCCCAATCCACCTAGCCAAGCAATGTACAACATATCCAGACTCCACATTGAGGTTTGCAATTTCACTACTTACACCAACATCAGTTAAGCCGGCTCCTTGTTCAGCAAGGTCAACTGATATGGAGTCCTGGTTCTCACCAGGTCCAACTCCAATTATCCCGATAGATACCTCCTGGTGGGCGGATTGTGCGTGAGAGTGATCATTAGCAATAGCAGCAGATGCAGAGGCACTGCTGCTTCCAAGAAGACCTGAATACTCCAAAATTGCAGCAAATGGAGTCTGTATGAAGCTGGTTGATGCCATCTCCCTACCATATCTTGCAGAATTATTACCACTATTAGTTGAATAAACATCCATTTTTCCCTCAATTCTTGTTCTCAGATCTGTCAGTCTGAAAACTGCAAGAAATGCGATGCTGAAGATGTGATTCTAACAAAATGGATAAATAAGTCAGAAAATCAGAAGTTGCTCAAATGAAACAAAAGTATATCCTGAGAGGCATATCAGATTGTCAGATTTTAATATGAGAGTTAAAAAAAGCGCCCTCTTCATTAGTAAGTCAGTTGGTTGCGTGTTGATGATTGAATGCAGGAATTTCCCCTCTCTGCAATTCGTTATCTTTCTTTGGTCTTTGTCAGGGTCAGTGTCTGGGCTTTCGGCTACGCGGGTTCAGAGATTAAATAAAACAAGCCTGTCAAGTATTTATTCCATTCAATTATATATATCTACATTATTATTATACATATACATCACAAAAGGAGGCCAGGGAAAGAAAAAAAGCCAGATCAATGCCAGATACAAGGAAACTGGAAGCGTCAAATACTCCAACTACCCTGTTATTTCCCCTGTACAACGTACATAGCATTATAGATAGATTAGTCTATGTCTTATCACTCACGTAAAACTCCTCTATTTCTCTCTCGTCAGGCACGGGGTCTGACTGATTGAGTCTGACTGATGTACACTTTGGCCAATCATCTGCAAGTAATTTGAACAACAAGAAACAATCATCATCTGTGCTTGAAATCAACTAATTTGCCTACTTGGTATCAAAAGAGACAGTCAAGGTCTCAAGGTTGTTATATCAAATGTTTTACTACAAATTCTCTATTCTGGAACAAGATTGTGTAGTAGAAAGCAGGGAGTTGCATTTGGATTTGGTTTGATTTTTAAATTAATTAATAATTACAATAATTTGATTTGTACTTATAGTGCGGTGAAAGATACTTGGGGTGTTGGATTCTTGTTCTATTTTTTCTACCAGGGAACTAGGATACAATTACTCCACCACAGCTAACCACTGCTTCCTTCTCGTGTAAATTCCTTTTGTATTAGTGCTACTGGTAGGGTACTCGCACTTTCGCTGCGAGTTCAATATGTTTTCCCATAACTGACAGTTGAATAATAAGATATTTGATAATAAATTTAAATAAATCTTATAATTCCATGAACTAGAGCAAAGAAATTATCATTGAGACTTATTTTCTCGTAAATGACGATTAAATATCTAAATTTTGGTTGTCCAAAGATATTTCTTTCTTTTATATGATAAAAACCTTCAACAATTTTTATTTTTTGCTGTCTATATAGTTTTATTAATACAAAATATAATTTAATTTTCAAATAACACTCACATCAGACAAAAAAAGTTCAAAAGAGACCTATAAATATATAATTGAGCAAACTTAGGATTTTGGCCCGCAATAGAAAGCAATTATCCTATCAAAGCAATTATCTTATCCTAAGATGATTCTGTCCACAAATCCTAAAAAGATATGACTTCCCTTATCATTTACTGAATTGTTTATTTTTTCACCAATAAAAGTAAATTGAAATATAGAGTTATAAATTTAATATATTAATATTGATACTAAAGAGTAATAATAAAAAATATTTATATTTAATCGATTATTCTTTGAATCAGTTGACACGTCATAAAAATTGACACTTAAAGATTGTAAGTTCAAAAGAGCTTAAGCATGTAATGTCTTTTTCAATCAAATATGTGATTAAATAAAATGTTTAAACATAAATTAAAAATTAAAAAAAAAACATTTATATTAACGGCTCATAGAGCTCGAGGAAAATAAACAGCTATCAATAAATAACACATTATAATATACTTTTTATATAATGTTGTATAGAGCCCAATAGCCCATATATTCACAGCTTATAAAGCCCAAGAAAAATAGACAACTTTCAACATATAATACATACTTTTTATATAGTGTTGTATAGATGTGGGGGATTAATGGATTGAATATTCTCATGTAAGTTAAAGGCCCATAGTCCCTAAACTTATATTCAAATTGTATTTTGATCCTTAAATTTTAAAGTATTTTAATTTGATCTTTAATTGTTTAATATTGTTCTACTTTGAAAATTTCATCTATGAAATAATCTAAATTAATAGTAAATATCAACTGGCGTCATATGATGACATTAGCTAGTATTTTATATGATAAAAGAGAGTCAAATCAAAGTTATTAATATTGTAATGGATAACATTTTATTTTATTTTTTTTATAAATGTGGTATATGTCGATACTAGTTGTTTTGATATATTATTTCAAATTTTTTGGTTTAATATAAAATATATTTATTAATATACATAAATTTATACATTATAATACTATTAATAATTGACAAAAAAATGTAATATCTTCAAAAATAAAATAAATAAGTTTAAAAATATAAGAAATAATATTATAAATTTTTTATAATATTTTTAAATACTTAATTTGATCATATGATATTTTTTTAAAAAAATTCATACAAATATTAAAATAAAAAAAATGAGATGAAAAAAATTAACTTTAGTTTCATGGTTATTAAACTTTATAAATGGAACACAATTGCTTTCTTAAAAAAATTTGAAATACTTATGAACTTTGGATTTAAAAAATAAAGTATAAAAAAAAAGTTATAATAAAACACAGAGAAATTCAACCTTTAAAGGTTATTTATTAGGTTAGAAATAGTCAAATAATAAAGACAAATTAAAAATTATAAAACATGTTTTACATTCACACATCAATCGAAATAAGTTAATTTATTGAAATTCACCAAAATCAATTGAAACCAATGAAAGCAACTAGTATTACCCTACCCTAAGCCATGTCTAGTATATATAAAAATATATTTTTTTGTTATCTATTTAATTTATATTTATATATATTATATTAATAAAATTATTATTTTATAACTTAATTTAAGATATTATAATTTGAATGTTCACATAATACCTTGATGATCTCTTTTTTCCTTTTAATTTTTTTATTTTTCTTTATTTTTATTTTTGTTCCTTTTACTAATTTTTAAGTAATAAAATTATTATTTAATATCTTAATTTAAGTGATTAATATTTTAAACTCAATTAAAATATCCATATAATACTCCAATGAACTCCATTTTCTTTTTTTTTTTGTTTTTATTTTTTTCCTTTTTTGTTTTAAAAGTTTTTTAATTAAATTAATTTTGAGAAAAAAAGCCAATGAAATTATCCACATGGCACCCCATTTAGCTTTTTTTTTTTGTTAATTTTGTAATAAAATATGTCATTAAAGCAGTTCGTATTCAATAAGTTTTAGTTCATTTTAATTTGATAAGGACACATTTTTTAAGTCGAGATCAAATTGAGATGGGTCAAGTTTTTTTGGATAAACAAAATCAAAACAAAAACTTGTTTATGATGCTCTGTTTTGTTCCATTTCGTAGTATATATAAAGGTATATATTTTATTGTTAATCTTATTATATATATTATATTGATAAAATTATTATTTAATATCTTAATTTATACATATGTGTAACACTATTTATAAGTTTTTTTATTTGTTTTTTCCTTTTCACACTTTGGATTTTATTTTTTTAATTAGATAAATTTTGTAAAAAAATGAGGTTGCTTGAGATATTCGCGTGTCACCCTCATTTGACTTTTAAAAGTCTTATCTTTTTTATTTTTTTAATTAGATAGTTTTTGTAATAAACAAGATAAATAGAGATAGCCAAAAAAAAAAAAAAATTGTGGCGACACACAAGTATCATACTAATCATATATAATTTTTATTTAATGTACTTAATATACATTTCGCTTCTCCCTATAATTCATCTCACTATTACTGTTATATTTGTATCAAAACACATATAAATCCATCATTGATTTAATTTCACTGCTTAATAACTAATCTTACCTCTAATATGATTTTTAATTTTATCGAAATCAATTGTAGCATAATAATAATTTTATATTCGAAGAAAAAGGTTCAACAAACCACTATATTGGGTCTTTTGACCATAATACCTTATTTTCATCCTTTAAATTTAAATTTTTTAATTTTATTTTGTATTTATATTTTAATTAATTTATTTTTATAAATTCTATTTCTTATGTATAATATTATTTTGTTAAATAAAATAAAAAAACAAATTAAATATTACTTTGTCATTTAAAAAAATTATTAAATATATTATTATAAAAATTTAACAATATTATTTGATATAAAAATAATTTTAGTACTTTTTAAATATTAATTTTTATAAATAACACAATTTATAATTTTCATTATACACAAATTTTAATATAATATTTTTAATAATTATTTATATTTTCGAATATAATTAACTTTACCATCATTATTATATTTACATTTAAACATATATTCTATTATTAATTTTAATCTTATCATATAACTAATAACCATCATTATTATTTTTAATATTATCAAAAGCACTTTTATCATTCGTTTAAATGAGTTAAGAAAAAAAAAATACACACACACGCAAAGGAATAGAACGGGCGATGAAATGAAACGAGGTTTTTAATTTCTTTCTTTCAAAGTTCAAAAGGGCGCCATTTCCTTCTTTAAACATTTAAAATTGCCCCAAGTGAGAGTGAAACGTCCGGCGTCAGTTGGCCTCGTCCTTTTGGCTTCTCAATCAAGTTCCGGTAAGTCGTTGTCTACTTCTTTGTTGTTAACACATACTAAACAAATACTAAACCATATGAACCCATATAAACATTGTTATAAATAAAGGTTGAGTTTTTGAGGGTTCTTTTTTTTTGGTCTGAAAAAGGTTGTGGAACTGAATTAGTACTCCTAAGAAAACGTTTACAAGTTACGATGGTGGAAAACTCTTATGAAGAGGCCCGTCGGCAACGCCTCGAGGAAAACAAAAAGAGATTCCAGGTTTCTTTCTTGTGTTTCTGAATTAAATCTTTCTTTGCTTGTATCAATTTTGGGATGTTCCCTACTAATACACATGGATCCGCCTCTAATTCTCAAGGATGAAAACAACTTTATCTAATATCTGTATTACTCCACAGATACAAGTCAATGACGGAAGATTTATTTTCATTAGTCTACTTGTTGTAACATTTGACATGAGAAACTTGGCTTTCTATCTAAGTTTGGGGTTCGAAGTAACTCATTCACTCTGTTAATTCCTAATGTAGGAATTAGGAATTTCAGAAATCTCCACTTCTTTAGCTCAACTTTCAAATTCTCACAACAAATCCCAGTCCCAGGTAAAACTTTACTTACCATCGTCACTACTTCTTTGTTTGAGTTTATCTCAAATGGGCTTCTTATAATAATTCTCCTTATTTCACCTTGTTTTAATTTTTATGTGCAGCAACGACTCTACAAGCCCAGACTAAAACCAAAAAGTACCCGCACATTTGAGCAGCTTAGACGTTCTTCTCGTGCACGTAACCCAGTTCCTTCATATTGTGATGATGTAAATACCTGTGATGTACTGCAAAAAAAATATAGTTCAAGGATAAAGCAACGTTGTGATGACTGTATTTGGTTCCTTCCTGACACTGTAGATTCAAATTCAGTTATAACTTTCAAGACATACTTGTATTACACCATTACAGTTAGAAGAGAAAATTGAATTCCCATGCTTATAAACCTTGGAGTTACTGCTTCCTCTTTACAAATATTTTTCTCTTAATGGGTCTGATTGGCCTTGGTAAAAATGCAGAAACTACAAATAACTCCTCTTGCTTCTAATACAGGTGGACATAGACCTTCCATCTTTGCGAAAGAGATCAAGGTCAAATTCATCATCTTGGGCGAGGTAGAATTAATTCTTCTGTCAAATTAATGGTACCTTTCATGTTTCCTCTTAGATGTTAGTTTTGATTCCATCACTTTTCAGCTATCTAGCAAGGCCACTAGATGAAGTCAAAACTGCTTCGTATGAAGAAAGGGTTAAGGCTATTAAAGCTGCAGAGGATCTCCAAAACAGTTTACAATCTGGGAATCCATCTTTTGTAAAATCAATGGTTAGGTCCCATGTTTACAGTTGTTTTTGGCTGGTAAGTTTTTGTAAGGAAATTTTATTTAAGACTATGGAACTTCTTTACTTAGCTGAACCTTGCTCAACAAATCTGCTGCATATGCCTAAATAAAAGGCAAATGCAAAGTATGAGCTTACTTTACTGACTGTCTGGTTATTTCTTTTGCTACAAGGGGCTACCTTCCAAGTTTTGTGAGGACCATCTTTCAAAAATGGTAGAAGATATGGTATTAGAGGACGAAAATGGTTCAGAATATGACGCTATCTACATTGGCAAAAGAGCAGGGCTCAGTGGTGGCTGGAGAACTTTTGCACTGGACCACAAATTGGACGATGGTGACGCTCTGGTTTTTGAATTGATTCAACCAACCAGATTCAAGGTAAGCATAACTATGTTAGGGCGTGAACTATTTAAGTGAATTTTGCAGTCCCTTGCCCTTCCATTAGATGCCATTTAACTTAGATTCATGGACATCAGCTTTATTCTTGCATTTCTGATCCATTTTACAATCATATAATTTTACTCATCTTAGATAAATGAGATCTTACTTTGAGTCTATTTAGCATTTATGTTGCTGCAAAGCTTTGGCGTAAATGAGGTCAAATCTGGTCGGATTGTCTTGCTCATGCCTACGATTAATATTTCTCTTTCAACATAAAGTGCTCTTGAAGTTTAAGATCAAATGTATTCCATCATATGTCTGTACAATTGTACCGTGACCTAATCTGGATATCAGATATTTGTTGGCATATTTATAATAGAACCCTATTAGTCGTCCTTGAGCAGAGAAGGCTAAAATATTAGCATAAACTGCTTTATTCCCTTATGTTGCCATCCCTAAGTGGTTTAGAAATCTTTAGCGATTTCTCCAGCTTGTTTGAAGCGTTCACATGGCTAGAGTCCCTTATCATACTTGATGTTCTACCTATTTATTTTTGATTAATTAAGTTTTGCAAATCATCCTATTTGGTTCATATGTAAGTATTTATTTAAGAAGGAACAGATGGATGGAAATAAATGCATTCTGGTACCACTGCAGATTTACATAATTAGGGTATCATCAATTTTGAGTCAAGGATGTGAAGAGGATGTTGCAGACAAAGGACTTACCAGTTGCATTAAAAGTAGAACCAGGGGGAGCATGAAGCTTGACTCAATATCAAGTAAGCAGAATTGCTTATCAATTTCTCAAGAGCTCAAGATAAAAAATGCTACGGATAATGAGAGAAAGTATTTTGATGTGTCTCAAAAACTCAAAAGGAAAGGCAAAGCAACCACTGTTAGTAAATCAAGCAAGGAAGAACTGGCCAAGGATGGTGGAAAATTTGCCTCTTCTAAGCCTAGAAAAAAACCTGCTCCAAGATTGTCAAGGAGTAGAGTGTAGAAGGAAACATAAGGCTTGCAAAATTTTCCAGGTTAGCAGTGAAGAAAAAGTTTAGGGTTTTGCTTTGAGTAGAAAAGAGAAGCGCCTATGTTTGCAATGATGCTGTTACTTTCTCAGTTCTGAAATCAAACTAATGTCGGACATTTTCTACTGTGTTTTTTCTACTCCCTGTCTAATTATGTTTTGTATGTTGCTACCTAGGAAAACCAATTGGGTTTAAGTCAAGCTGTACAAAGGAAGGTAGCTTCTTTTATTGGGTCTGACATGCTAATGATTGTGTCTCGTGATTAACATTTGTTGAGATTTGAGATGAACAACTTTTTTTTTTTTCCCCTAAAATATCGCTTGTGGAATAGTTTTTGAATTTTTAATTAACTTTTCAACCTTAAAAATATACCACTACAATTTAATATTGAAGAGATTAAAACTTCATTTTGAAAATAGAGTATCACACATGATATATTTTTTGGTATAGAGTAGACAATGGAGTATATGCTCTTGTTATTTGGTATTGATCCACGTTTTTAGGTATATTAAGGCCTTCCCTCACTTTTTTTTGGGTGAAATTTAAATAAACTCTGTAAAGGAATATATAGATACGGTTGAGTCAACTTATCAACTGTGTTTTTCTACAATTGTTTTTTCTTATTTGGAATTTAGAAAAAATTTGGATTCTAACTATTTGAACAAAAAATATATATATATATATATTTACACACATGCATTGTCATTAAATCAAATGCTAAGTGCATTTTATACTATTAAACAATAATTATTATTAATATAAGAGCAAAATGTTTATATTGGTACATGTGTGTTTATCAAAAACGTTCATCTTAAATTTTGTGCCTCATCAGACAAATTGATGAGAGGCTAAAATAAAAATTCTTGTTGGGTCATTTTGCAATTGGTGTTACATAGGAGTCTGGGTGTAGTGTTAAAGAGACAGGTTGTTAGGTCTTCGCTCAAAAGTGATGTGTCACATCATCACTTGGGTGTGGTATCTAAGGATTCTTTTGTTTTAATGTACGAATATAAGTAAAAAGTTAGTCTAGTGGAGTAAATTAGATTTAGCTATTTGAAATATAGAATGGTTAATTGATAAATTAATAGAGATAAAAGAGGTGATGATAATGAGAGAGATTAATATTATGTGTTATTAAAAAATTAAATAAGTGAGAAGAAAGGTCATAGAGATAAAAGTACGGGGTTCTAAATTTTGGTACACAAACAAGGAAAGAAATAGAAATGGAATGGGATAAATTTAGATAAGAATTTGAAGGATGATGTAATTGAGATTAAAAGAAAATAAGATAAAATTTTATATGTTAAATTTATATTATGAGAGGAAACTATTAGCGTCATTAATGCTTATGTCTTATAAATAAGTTTGAATTAAGCAAGTAAGTAAAAATTTTGAAAAGATTCACATGAGGTAATGCCAGCTATATCAAACGAAAAAAAGTTATTTGTTGGAAGAGATATTAATAGTCACGTAAGTAAGAATTATAATGACTTCAAAAAGGTGCACGGGATATAGCTTTGAAGAAAGAAATGATACTAGAAATAATATTTTAGAGTTTGTTACTATATTTGATCTAACTAAATTAAATACGTGTTTTAAGAAAAGAAAATCACATTTGATGATTTTTAAAAGTGAGTTAAACGTTAGTCAAATTAATTTTTTTTTACAAGAAAAACGGATAGAAGTAATTACAAATATTGCAAGATTATACCGAGTGAGAGTGTGACAACACAATATAAATTACTAGTTCTAGATATCTTTTACTTCTGGGAGTCAAAGAGGATACATCAATGTTATGAACTATGTATTAAGTGGTGGAACTTGAATGGGGACAAAATGTTAGCTTTTAAGAATATAATGGTAAAAAAGTTGATTAGAAGTTTAATGAGAATGTTGTAGTAATATGGGAAAATATTTCTATTAGAATTCAAAAAGTTGCTAAAAAATACTTGACAAATCTGGGAGTTGTGCACCATTAGAAAATGAATCTTGGTGGTAGAATGATGATGTGAAAATGATAATTAAAATTAAGCGGGAGTGTTATAGAAATTTAAGGAACATTAAGGATGAAGGGAGTTATTTGAAGTATAAGACAATAAAAAAGAAGTTAAAAAGGCTATTAGAGATTTAAAGACTAGGATTAAGGAATTATATTGAAAACTAGAGACATTAGATGGAGAAAATTAGTTATTCAAAATTGCTAAGATGAATGATAAAAAGAATAAGGATTTTAACGGTGTAAAATGCATCAAAGTCAATGATGAAAGAGTTTTAGTGAAATATGTTGAGATTAAGAAGAGATAGAGAGATAGTTCTGATAACCTCTTTAATGGTAATTTTGAGCATGGTATAGGTAGGCTTAACATATATTTTTTTAATATATAAATCATGTATTTAAACGGAATATTAAAATATATGAGATTTAAAAAGCTTTAAGAATGATGAAAGTAAAGAAAATTATAGGACAAGATGAAATTTGATAGAAGTTTGGAAATGCTTGGATGAAGTATAGGACGATTGTTGGACTTTTGCAACAAAATTTGGCACACTTAATAGATGCCAAAAGAATGGAGAAAGAATATTATAATGCTTTTATATAAGAATAAAGTTGATTTAAAAATTATTTGAACTATCAAAAAATAAAATTTATTAGTCATATTATAAAATTTTGAGAGAGAGCAATTGAATATAGATTACGACGTGATGTCATTATTTTTGAAAATCAATTTGGGTTTATGTTAGGACGTTTCACAACAGAGGTAATTCATCTATTAAGGTTTTTACTAGAGGGTTTCAAGGCAAGGAAGAAATATATACATATGACATTTATTAATATAGAGAAATCATATAATAAAGTTTCTCGATAGGTGTTTTAGTGGACTTTATTGAAGAAAAGAGTTCCTTTAAAATACATTAATATAGTTATAAATATTTATTAAATGAGATGTAATAAATGTGAAGATGGTTGGGGGCATGATTGATAACTTTTTATTATCTCAGGATTGCATTAAGCTTCGGCATTAAGTCCATTTCTCTTTGCATTATTTATGGACGAGCTAACTGGATATATCCAAGACAAGGTGCCATGGTGTATGTTATTTACTAATGATATAATTTTAGTTACTGAGACTAGCGATGATCTTAATGTAAAATTAAAATTATGGAGGTATACATTGGAGTCTTGAGGCTTTAAATTGAGTGGATTTAAAATTAAATATATAAAATATAAGTTTAATAATCATAAAGAAGTGATTACTAATGTGATTATGTTAGATAGTGAGACAGTACCTATGAGTAGTTATTTTTAATATTTGGGATAATTATTCAAAATGATATTGCGATAAAAAATAATGTAAATCATAAGATTTAAGTAGAATATGTGAAGTGCGTTGGGTGTATTGTGTAATTGGAACATGGCTTTAAAGTTAAATGCGAAATTATATAAAACAACTGTAAGGTCTAAGTTGTCATATGGAACTGAGTGTTGGATCGTTAAATAATAAATGAAAATGTTTAGATGAATGTGTGATAAAACTATAAGAGACATAATTAGAAATGAGAAAATTTGAGAAAAATTAAGGATAATTTAAATTAAGGAAAAGATAAGAAATTTGAAATGATTTGGATATGTAAAATGTACATCTATTTGTGTACCTGTTAAGGAAAATAAACTTTTAAATTTAAGAGTAACCATAACTTTTAAAGATATATCGTAAAAGACTTGAATGCAAATAATAAGAAATGATATAAAGATTAAAAAAACAGATGAAAATATTGTTATCAATAAAAATAAATGGTGCAAAAAAATTTAAAATTATGATCGTCTCCGGAATTCTAAAATATAAAATTTAATTTGTTGTTGTAATAGACATAAAATGAGATATTGTTAGAATAATTGTAGTTTTTCAGATAAAATGCTGTCTTTGCCGACTTAGCTGTAGGTTAGAGCGATACCATATAGGAGATTTGACATCATGTTGACTTGTAACGTTGCACGCCCCATGCTATTTCAGTTCCAATTCTGTCTGGACATTGGCAGGAGTTGAGTTGCCAATTGCGCAAACTCTGCTAGCTTGGCTCGGTGACTGGAATTCTGTCTTCTGGAGAGTGGTTGACCACGACCTTTCATTTTGGGACCTCTTTAAGGAACCTGTTTTAGAAATGGGTTGCTATGTAAGCTTATTTCCTGAAGGATCCTTACCCTTAAACGGAAGTCTGGATCCCGCAACGATATTGGCTATTGGGTCTTCACTTCAAAAGGGTAACGAATGGTAGACTTGACCAAAAAAATAAAGCAAATGGTAAAGAAAGTTTAAGCATGCATGTCAAAGATGAAACCAAATTCATAAGCATTTGACAAAGAACTTAACTACAAAAGCATGTAAAATATAATACACTATTCTTGTACATTGCGTTCCTTCCTAAGTCAAACCAGTAAGGTAGCTATATTCAATCAAAAATTTTTTGACAAACTAAACAAATGAGAAAAGGCCAAGTGCCTCAGCCGAATTACAACAGCAAGTATGCAAGAAGGCACTGCACTGAGTCAATATTATCCAATAATGGGTAGCACTGGTAACGGCAGCAAAAACAGAATATCATGGCATTGGACTATTGATATCTAGTTTAGAAGCTTCCATTCGGTCTATCACGACTGTACAAAATAAATCAGACTCAACAGCTTTGCCCCAGCATTGAAAGAGAAGGAATCATACATAACAAATTCACCTCCATCTTGTCAGGAAGGGCATGGAAGAATTGCAAAGGGGCTACATCTGAATTTCTACAAAATTTGATTACACAGAACTATAATTTAAGTTTCATGCCTCAACTTTGATGGCTGTGTCAATAGCATCCACGGAATTATTTTGCTGTGACCACAGCTGTGCATATCTTCCTGCCTTTGCCAAGAGAATATCGTGTGGTCCCTGTTCGATCACCTTGCCATTCTCCAGAACAATTATCTGCAATACGTATATGGAAACAAAAAGAAAGAAAAAGAATGGCAAACTTGAGCACCGGATAAACCTAGAAAAGATAAAATTGACAGTTCAGGGATTAAATAGAGAAGGATGATCTTGGTTGAAAGTGAGAATATTAGAGGAAACAAGTGAGATTGATTAATTACAGTGTTCAGTTAAACCCAGATATCTTACATTGTGTCTGAGGAAACGAAAGGATTCATAATTTCAGTGAAAACCACTTTATATTTGTTTCTCTGCTGATGAAAGCAAGTTCATTTTTTTGAAAAAAGTCAGAAGCATCGCAGAACTGGCTGAATTTTCAGGCTGAATAGGTATTACAACATAAATAAAGACAGTTATCTCACATGCTGCCAAATTGATAATTTGGTGAGTCTCTGGATATTGCTGAAACTATATAATGGTACAATGCAGTTTATCTTTGTACTTTGATAGATATTAGTAAATTTTTGAAGGATTAATATCATATTTGGCCTGTACTATAAGAAAATTTTTGATTTGGTATCTTTAATTTTAAAATGTGTAATGTGTTACCTGTACTGTCCTTCCATGTGAGAATCTAGCACTTAGGGCTAACAGTAGTTGAAGAAGATGACGAGGCTGTCTGCCAATCATATGATGCATATGGCATATTTTACTATGTCATCTTGTCTCATAGCATATGCATAGGTCCCATTGTGTCATAATTTTAAAAAATATATAAAAATTTATTTTGTAAACTTTATACTTTTATTTTTTAAAGTTTTTTCCTTTCTAATTTTAAAAATAAAAAAGTATTTATACTTTTTTATATTATTAAAATCATGACAAGTGCCATGTGGCATCCATGTGAATGCCACCTGGCAAGATGACATGATAAAATATGACACATGTCAACATGTAATTGGATGGCAGCCATGTAATTGTCTTTAGTTAACGATGTTAGCCCAAGTACTGGATTGTCACACAGAAGGATGGTATAGGAACCGCATTATACATTTTAAAAGTAATGGTACTACACTGAAAAATTTTTGTAGTAGGGGTCAAATATGATATTAACCCAATTTTGAACTACTACTTAACAAAATAGTTGGCACAGAATCTTGTATATTGGGCACAGATAGACAAAGCATGAGGGAAAAAAAAAAACAAAGGGCGTATAAGAGGCCAAAGCCAGAGGGAATTTGACATTCTCTCTTTCACATTGTTAGAATTTCTCAACCATTTTAACCCAAAGGATGAAAGCAAATGGTAAAAACACAAATCATTTTTGCGATTTTAGTTCTTTGTAGGTACTTTTTTCCTGCCTACTTAGTATTTGATCCTCTTGTGCATGGAGAGAGAGAAAGAAGGAGAAAGAATAGCAAAGGACATTTCAATGTCAGTGCCATGAATGCATGATCACGTAACTTTTATAGGCATGCGTACCTTATCACACTGCATTGCTGTTGTAAGCCTGTGAGCAATGAAGATTGAAGTCCTATTATTTGCTAGTGACTTTAATGCATTCAATATCTCTGATTCAGTCGTACTGTCAAGTGCACTAGTAGCTTCATCACACAACCTGTGAATAGAAATGAACAGAAAATCATGCACTGTTTATGACAAACAGATGAAAGAACAAATAGGCTTTCCTTTTCTCATTTTTTTGTTAGCCTATATCTTTCGGTTCTAGGGGAATTCGTCTCCCACATGACAAATAGGCTCTTGGGGAAAGGGATTAAAAATATTCTACATTTTTCTACTAATTAAGTATGGCAGGAATTGCATTTCTATCCAATGTAACATTAATTCTCTTTGTTGGCGAAATCTACCCGCATATAACAAGTTTATCAAACACTGTAAAAATTTATCAATACAAGAATGAAGTGTAGTTAAGATATGCATACATAATAGGTTACATCAAGAAGGAATGCTTACAAAATAGCTGGAGCTTTCAGGAATGCACGAGCAAGAGCTACACGTTGTTTCTCACCGCCACTTAACTGGCAAGAAAAGTCACCTGATTAGGTAGAATTCTAGAGAACGCCAGAAGGCAATCTATAGGAATGATCACTTCTTTCCCATTCAAGTTCTTTGGACAGGAAATTATCATCAGTATCGAATAATCTATTTGAGAGGCCATTAAAAAATCCAAGCATTAGGCCCCAAAAGCCTTAAGTCAGGCATCACACCACCATAATGCATTAAAAACAATCATGAATGGAGAGGCCTCTCACCTTAAGCCCTCGTTCCCCAACCACAGTTGAATATTTTTCAGGGAAGTTCATGATAGTGTCATGAATTGCAGCCTGTTTAGCAGCATTATAGACCTATATGGAAACATGTGTTAGGCTGTAAAAGAAAAATAAGAGCAGGGCTGTGAACTATGAAATTAACCTCTTCTTTTGTAGCAGAAAGACGGCCATAGTGTATATTGTGAAATATCGTATCATTGAAGAGTACCTGCCCATTAAGCAAAATTGGTGTTCCTCATCGGTTTATACATAAATAAGCAAGGAAAAATGAATACAAAATTGTCTATTGAACTAACAGTATCTTGTGGCACAACACCAATAGACTGTCGAAGACTATCCAGTGTTACATCTCGTATGTCTTGACCGTCTATCCTGATCTGTACAGAGAACCAATAGTCAGTACTGTGGGCTTGTGAGTCAAATTGGAAAAAGGTGCCAAAATACCTTAGACCAAATAAAAAATTTATGGTCTTAAATGTAAATTGTGCAAGCTGTTACCAGCATGCAAGAGAGATGAGCTTTTTTAATGAGAAATCATTGCAGAGTTTATATATGATTTATAATTGAATACTATTGTTGAACTTGCCATGAAGACTGACACTGCGAAGATAAGTTCATTAACTTGATGAATTAAAAAGATTGCCAAAGTCAGAAACATGTATTGGTAACTTATAGTACAACTAAAAAAAGTATTTATTCTTACGCTTCCTGAATGAACGTCGAAGAACCTGAAAAGCAATCGAAGAATGGTTGACTTGCCTGAAAGCAAATTCAAAATTAATTACATCAAGGGTTGTTAAAGTAGACTAGGAAATATAATACAATAATAGAGTTTTAATAATAAAAGCCACAATTAGCCCTATGACTTTTTGAGATAGTTGACTCATCACGAAAATTAAAAAGCATCTCACAAACGTGTTGCACATTTTGACACCCAACGACCACACCCACCCCCTTCCCCCCCCCCCCCTCCCCAAAAAAAAAAAAACAGAAACTTTTGCTTGTGATTTTACGAGCCACCATCTCAGAGTGACATTTCCAACCAAATACTGAAAGGTTCCATCTAGCAGGGTAATCTACACCGTTCATACACCCAATGCAGGAAATATTGCGTGGAGTCATGCATGTAATGCTTGAATCTTGGGAGTTAGAGCATTCAACAAATGACAAAATCATAACACTAGGAAAACCAAGACTTGGAAGGAAAAGAAAAAGGTTAACAATTGTTCCACATCAAATGCAAATACCAAGTATGAGTTTACACCCACTGAAGTCTTACCACTTCCACTAGTTCCTACAATAGCCACACTTTTCCCAGCTGGTAAAATAAAAGATATCCCATCCAGAATCTTTCTTTCTGCTAGGTAACTATTATAACCAGAAAAGAAAAAAAAAAAATGCACATTAGGATTCTATCATCGAAAGAGACAAAAATAGCAGATTAACAATTAAGGAAATTATATTACTTAACATGACCAACACATTCCTTACATCCCTGGATCACATATCAACTCAATCAAACCAGGCCTGATTCTCAAACTAGTGATCTGAACTAGAGCCCTACAATGTGTAAATCAATCCAAGCAGCAACTTAAAGTTTCTAAGCTACCGGATTCAAAGAATTCAATAACCATGTAAGAAGAAACTCTGAGATTCAATTAGGAAAGGGACAACAACAAATTTAAAACAGATAGGGAGACAATTTCCATGCACAGCATGACTAGCATGTAGAAACAAACATGTTACTGACCTTACATATATACAAAATTAGTAATTTAAAATGCTCATACCAAGGAAATAATGAGTTTCATATGCAATCTAAGCAGTCAGAGGGAAAATTAGAACACAAATTACAGACAAAAGCAATACTTGCAAATTATAAACCATACAAGAAATAAAAGAGAATCAATAATTTACAGCATTTACAAAATGATACTAATAATCCGGTATACATTTAATTGAAAACTTTAATACGTATGACAAAAATGGGGGTCGCCACTATTATAAACATTTAAGTGAGCACTTGGTGATCGTTCACCCCAGTGACAGGATTAATGGTGATGTAAAAATCATCCATGATTTCACAACACCCGGAATCCTCAATCACCATGTTTGCTATAAATTATCTAAGTACATATCACCACTAATGTTTCATCAACCTGCTTGTTAGTCAGAGCGATTGGTTAATGTTGAAGTAATACCACAATTGCCTTTCATATCAATTCTTTTGATTTTCAAAACCAAAGACTGATTCATAGAATCATAGAGATTTGCTTATAACGAGGATAGCATCTTCTAGTTAGAAATTAATTTCACACTTTCATTTTTGTTTTACTTGTAAATGAAAGTGTTTTCAATTTCTATTACAATACACAGGAGCTTCATATAAATTGCTAATTTTCTGGTTAAAAAGCAATTCAAGATCCCTACAAAATTAAGTAACCATGATCTAAGACCAACACACAAAAAAGATGAACAGAGACCAAAAGCAAATAAATCTGTATGATGTACAGGGGGAATGGATAGGCTTTTCCACTAGTAGTGCTAGTAATTTGTTGGGGTAATTTGTCCTGCTAAAAGAAATCTTTATCACTCCCTTGGCAGTGATTGAGTATCACCGTGATTTTTGGGAGTGATGGCATCACTCTTTCAAAGGGTGACATAATTAATCCAGTGATTTAAATCACTGCCACCAAAATCAATGGTATGATACCAAACAAAAGGTGATCTTATCACTGATAGCTCCATGACTACTACAACTTCCATCATCCACTTTTTTTAACCAATACCAAACACACCCTAAAATGTATAGATTAACCAAGTTCATTTCACGTTAAATGGACTCTTTGAGGAGAAACTATATTCATGGAATTGAATTCAAGGACAGTGCCAACAAAAAACGGGTCAAAAATAAAGCTGAAGATTTTTGCAAAGAGTAATAGAACTTAAAAATGGTCATTCGTAAAAATACAAATGAAGTTGGAACACTATGTTTAGATTGGGCAATGGAGGGGAAGTGAAAGGAAAGGAAGGATACCCCTTCCCTTTCTGGATGTACCATTAAAGGAGGGGAAGGGAAATAAAGAGAAACCTATTATCCTCCCTTCACCATAAAAAGGCATTTTTCAATCCCTCCAAAGTGGGGAGAATGGTAGAGAAAGGAAAACCTTTAATGAGTAACGAGTGTATTGTGAATTCTACCCCATAAAATGTTAATAATACTTATAGATAAAGGGCTAAATAGTAAAACAATATAATGGCTAATCTTTTCTGTTCCCCTTTTATATTTGTAATATCCAGACAAGGGGATCCACCATCTCTCCATTTCCCTTACTCTCTAGCCCTTCTCTCATTCAATCCTGACATAGGGTAAGTCTGACCATTAGAATATCCTAGCGCTACGTATAAGTACAACCAGAGGCAGCTACATGATAAAATGTGAGAAGATTGGAACATTTTGACAAAACAATGCAACTCCTTTATCCATGATAAAAGAAATTTCCAAACCAAGCAGAACTAATGACCAACCAGGGCCATTTTGAGCATCACAAAAACGTGCAACTTGCCTAATTATAATGCCTACAGATGAATATACTAAATGCCAGATGTTACCTTTAAAACATGACTAATTATAAAGATAACCGGTAATCACCTGAAGTGCACGTTATCAAACAGAATGCTTCCCCCATTCAGTTTCAAAGGCTTTGCATCTTTCTTGTCACTAATATCAGCCTTCTCCTGCAGCGATCATTAAGTTGAATAATTTAGGTTAGAAGAGCAACATGACATGATCCCCATATCATGTAGAATAATTTATGAATTACCAAACTGAATTCATCTGTGCACTTCATATGGATCATTATTACCAGGCAGGATCTTTAAAAGAGAAAAATGAAGCAAATATTTTCTTCTCATTGTCTGTTCTTTAATTATTTTTTTGAAAATGGTTTCATGAACTATAATGTTGCTCTCCTAACCCCAAAAACTCAGGAATTGCACTATGAAGAATTGAAGACCAAAAGAAAGTGACAAAACAGTCAAAGGCAAATATATCACGACACACTCTTAATCTGCAGGAACTTCCTCAAGAAATACCTCAAGTAATTGAAACATGGATTTCATGTCAACAAGACTCTGTATGGTCTCACGATAAACACTTCCGAGGAAATTGAGTGGGAGAGAGAGCTGGAACAGTAGCCCATTCACCATAACCTGTATTTTCAAATTCAAAATTTGGGCACATCACATCATTCAACAACTTGACTAAATGTAATTTATTTTGAAAAATCAGAAGAAAAGAAGAAACTTTTGTGACAATTACAAGAAATCACGTCAAGAAAAAGTTTTACCAGATCACCAACTGTCATTTGGCCATTCATAATTCCATGCGAACACAACACCATAGCTGTAGATAAAGCTGTGCTAAATATCACATTTTGGCCAAAATTCAGAAAAGCAAGACTCCGTTGAGTTTTCAAGGCAGCATCTTCATACCCTAGAAAAAAAGCAGGAGTAACAGAAGCAATATCAGACAAAGTGTGAAGAATGAAAAAAATACTAAAATAGATGCTTTCTTTTTGTCTAAGCATATTTGGAAAGGTCACTAAAAGATCTTCTAGTAACATGAATAACCTGTACAACCTGAAGAACTACCATATTACAAAAGTTTATTTCACATTATTGCTTAGACAATACCGAAAGCAGCCACCTTCTCAGGATTACAATTTCTATGTACTAACTGTAAGAAGCAAGAAAATGCAATGCAGCATAGGCAAAGCTCATGGAAGTTCTTTTCCTTAGAAGACCTCACGTTTGGAACTTGCAGCATGAAGGAGCACATTTACTGATGCACATATGCACTCTCAACATAACAAATTGTTAAGCAATTGAAAGTGTTGAATTTCCAATGATTCCACATCATCTCTAGTTAACAAAATTCTTTTCTGATTACCAAATTCAGCTGTGCACAAACTTTAGGTCTTCCAAGGTAGTAATGCAGAAGCTTCACATGATAGTTAAGCAATAATATCCATTCATTTTACTGTAGTCTTAATAAATGCAATTGATAAATTTGGAAGACACTTTAGATTATGAGGAGGCCTGCATTTACAGATAAATGGCTGACATTGATTCAAATAGGATTTAGTTGTTCTGGAATTCAGTTGTTAATATCAGCTTTTATGATAAAGTAGGTCATGGAAGAGTCATTCTACTATAGCTTTCCAGTTTGAGAGGAAGTTACTTGCACTTAAAATTTCTACAGTCAGCCTAAAATACTTACTCTTTAAGAACTCATCATACTTTTCTGCTTCGAAAGCTTCATTGTTGAAATATTTAACCGTCTGAAATATAAGACCCAAGAAAAAACAATAAATAAGGCATTAAGATGGGGCTATATAAAGAGAAAAAAGAATCATTATCAAGTACAAAAAGATAAAATGATTACTATAAATTAACGTATTCATAAATGGGAATATAGCTTCACCTCATAATTGATAAGTGAATCAATGGCCCTTGTACTTGCATCATTATCAGCTTTATTCATAGCCTTCCTAAATTTGGTTCTCCACTGGCAATAACAGGAAAAGCTTAAGTTTCACTCCTCACAAACTACATTAAGGATCCTGATAAAGTATTGACAATATATATGGTACCTGTGTCACAGTTAAAGTAAATGCAACATATGCCACAACTGATAGCGAAGTTATCCATGCAAAAGGTGCTCCAAATTTGTATGCTAGTATACCCGATACCATAGATATCTAGAAGGATAGAGATTAACTCTGTTAAATTTGTTAAGAAACTGAGGAGCATGATCGAATGTACTAACATTGAATCATAACACTATGACAAAGATAATGACTACTGGTGCTCGTAGTGGATGGCAAGAAGAGTTCTGGTGTCTGTAGTTGGTGCCAGCATATGAAAGTAGAAATTAACATCTTTAAAAGTACATAGCTCATCAGAAGTTGAACCAAAATCAAACCTCTAAAATGGTGGGTACAACATTGAACACCATAGATGAAAGAATAAAATTGATTGCACGGCTACCACGATCAATTATTCTATTTAGAGCACCTGTTTCTCGACTGAAAATAAAGTGAACAAAAAGAATCAGAAGCAGAAGCACAAAACTAACTGCTTGAGGTAGACTACATTGTAGAAGAGCCTGCTACAATGAATATGAGCACAGATAAACAAGCTGTTTATGGAGGGGGGTGATGAAACAAAAGAATAAAGATTAAAAGTCATTGCAATGTGCCTGATATTTAAAGCAATACCTAAGATGGTAGCGAAGGTCAAGATCATGTAAATGTGAAAAGACCTGCAAAAGAAAAAGGATATTAAGAAGTTTAATAGAGTTAAACATGCAAAAGATGCAACCTTTTATAGGGTAAGAAGTGTAATTGTTTTGAGATCTCACATACCTTCCTGGAAACAGAGCGGATTGTTCGTAATGCTACTTTGGAAAAGACAGCAGTACGCAGTTCTGCCAACACAGAGGGAGCGTGGTTATATATTGGTAAGTAAATGATGTAATTAAGAAGAGAAAAGCAGATACCATTGAAAGCAGAAGCTCCGGAGCGGGCAATGCCATAACCAATCAAGACAGCAGCAGGGGTAGCAAAAAGGGCAACAAGAGTAGAGTTGGCAAGAGCAGTAGCGTTGGGGGTGGTCAACCAGTCAACAGCAAGCTTGAAGAGGAAGGGAACTTGGACGTTCAAAAGCTTAGCCCCAACAAGGAATCCCAGGGCCGTCATCACCCTTAAGCGGAACTCCAAGTTATCCTTCATCCACAAATAGCCTGCAAGAGTGCGTAGAATTTTCATGTCCGCAGCTTGTCGTTTCTCAGTAAGAGATGAAGCTGATGCTGATGGTGATGCTTTGTTTTGAGATTTGTCATCATCATTACTTGAGGCTGAGGATGAGAATAATAAGCGCCCATTTAGCATTGAGCCCTGTCTCCCGAAATTTGCAGAATAAAAGTTTTAGTAAATCAAAAAAATGAAATTTATGGGGAAAAACATTAGCTGAGGCTCGAAATTGACGAACCGGGTGGTGGCAGGGTGCCGAGAAGGAGGAAGAGAAGGAAGAATCGGAAAGAAAGGCGTTGATATTAGCATTTCTGTTCATGAGATTCCACGAATATGCCCTTCTAGTGTTGTTGGTGTAGAAAGTGGGATTTTTCCCAAAAATAGAGCTGCTGCTGCTGCCTGCTCCGATTGGAGCCAAAGCACGGGAAAAAAAGAGTGAATTATGGTTGAGTACATCTTTGCGCAACATTAGTAGCGCTCGAGCTCTCAAGCCCCTCGATGCACTCAACATTTTCCACCTCTTTATTATTCAATCACTCGATCAATCAATAATACTCCAATTCGGATAATCAATACCCTAACACTTATGGCCAAGAAAAAAACCCTAGAACTTGGATTGACTATAAATGGTGAAAAGGGGAGAAGATGAGATGAGATCAGACCCAAACTTTTATTCGTTCCTTTAAAAAGAAACAGAGGCTGGGCCGCCTTGGACGTCGGAGACAGGGAAGTATGTCTAGCTGTAAGGAGATTCGATTGGAGAGAAGCCTAGTTATAGATTTGAGTTGAGCACGTGCGCAATACTTTATTTGCGGCGCGGCTCGGTCGTTTCTCTGATGAAGCTTATACTCTGAAATCTGAATAGTGTCCAGAAATAATTACGGTTCTCAACTGGTAACTGGCAAAGGAATGAAATAGCGACTCAATGTTGATTTGTTTGGAATGGATTAAGTATGTTCTAGTAAATGAGAAGATTTATAAAAAAAATTTATTTTAAGAGAAGAAAGATTATTGTTAGGTAAGTTAATATATTTATAAATAAATGAAATTTTTATAAAATTAAATATAAGAAATATATATAAGATAATTATAAGATTTATTAAGTTAAATATCACAAGATTAGAGAATAAGAGAATTTTTATGATTGAGAGAATATATATAAGTTTATACCAATATGATGTTATAAGTAAGTTTATATGAATATGATATATAAGTACAAATAATTATATTTTTATTTAGATTAAAAATATTTCATAAGATTATATATCTATTTGTTAATATTAAGAATATTTTAATTTTATATGTTTGTTTTGATGAATAAATACTTCATAAAACTAATAAAGAATATTTTTAAGTGGAATAAAATAGAACGATAGATTCATATAAATATAATATATAAATCGATACGAGTATATATTTATTTATTTGAATTAAAAATATTTTATAAAATTATAAAAAAATAAAAAGATCATAGATATTAATTATAAATATTAATTTACATTATTTGTACGTTTATAATTTTTTATAATTAATAGATTTTTTTATTTTTGAATAAAAGCCGATTAGATTGATCATATTAAATTATTAATTATTGTGTAATTAATTAATTATTTTATTTTATTTTCGTTAGTTTGGATGTTTAATTGATTTTAAGTGTTTTATTTAGCAACTTATATCATAATCATGTTTTAAACTCGTAGATGATATTCCTGACATTTTAATCGCGCTACACCACAATTACAACAAATCATAATGGTTGTACAAGGGATAGGCTCTGCGACTGACGTGCCTTTTTGTCCCTTCTCCTCACTTGGCTCCAGCTTTTGGTCGTCTCGTTGCCTTTCTTTCTTATCTTGTTGGCTTATCCACCTTGCAACGTTTGCACCACACTGCATCTGCAGTTGTGCTTGGACTTCCTCATATTATTTTTCTTTTAGAAACATCTCCAAAACATTAAGAAAAAACGATGGCCGCTGCTGCCCCCTGCCTTCAGTTGCAAAATAGGGCGCCAGCCTGGCTCAACTGCCAGCGCAGGAGCAGCAACAGCAGCAGAAGAGCAATGACCATGGGATTTAGAACTGCAAATGGACATAGTAAGACATCAAAGAGCAAGAGATGCGGATTGGTGAAATGCAGTGGCAGTGAGATTGGGATAGGCGACTTCATTGGAGGCGATCTATTAAGATTTGATTTAGGGCGTTGGCTATCCGATGTAGAAGAGCACAAAGCCCTCGCTATTTACGCCCCGCACGAGGGAGGCTACGAGGGTCGCTACCTTACCCGCCTACGATACCAAGGATACTATTTCCTCGACCTTACTGCTCGTGGCCTTGGTGATCCGGAGACTACCCTCACCAAGATCCATCCTGTTTGCCCTGTATGCATGCTGCTCTATTTACAATCCTCTGTTTTTTGGCAAGAGACAGAACAGAGTTTTTCTGTTACTACTTTCTTAGTACTAAAATAATTAAATTACAGGCTCACGTTGGGAAGCAACCGATAGCAAGGTGGTATTTCCCGCCAGAAGTTGATTATAGGCTCCAGGCATTGCCTCCTGATGCTAAAGGGCTTGTCGTCTGGATAATTGAAGCCAAGGTATACTGACACTCACCCACTTAGCCCCCTCCTCCCCCAAAAGAATTGTTGACCTGAGTTTTTTTTCCTCCATCAATACAGTAACCTGGTCATTTGCGTAGGTTCTCTCCAATTCGGAGCTGCAGTTTCTTGCTTTGCTTCCCACCCTCCGACCTAAAGTTAGGGTTATTGCCGAATGTGGAAACTGGTAAGGCTGTTCATTGATCCTTTTCATCCTACAGTTAACCCCACATGCAGCAGTGCAGCTATACATTCACAGTTTCGCACATCCTATCCCTATTGGTGAGTGACGATTTGCTTGTCCAATTGAATGAGTGATGATTTGCTTATTGTCAACAACGCAGGAGAAAATTCATGTGGAAACCACTCAAAGAAATTTCAGGACTAACTGCTGAGGAAGGAGCATGAACAACAGTAATGCGGATACTATAGCAAATGTTGAGAGAATCAACAACCTGGTAGTGGAACACTCATAACTCCTGTATTACCCAAGTATCTAAAGGCCTTTTAAACTGTGCTGCAAAGAAGAAAACACACGTAATTCATGGAGAGATCATTAAACTTACCTGTCAATGTCATTCCAGATAATGTAGTCCAGAATTTCCGTCGGCTATAATCAATAGTCATCTTCCGCTTCTTTTATTGACACGCTACCTAGTGTTGAACAACTATGACCCACACTAAGATCCTTTTTACATGATTTGATCGCATCTCCAAATGAGAAGCCTTTCAAAAGTAGCTACATTGCACCACGCAAAATCATATTACCAATGCAGATGCGCTCAAGCATGGAAGAACCACAATGTTGCTTATCATGCACTGTATACCATGTTGTTCACCATGAACTGTATTCCATTTAAAATAATAATTTAAAAAAACTCAAAAAGATCCAAATGGCTGACATCATTTTTTTTCAAAAAAGCAAAAAAAACGGCAATAATAATCCAAAGAGCAATGCTACTGTCTCTGGAATAATCTTACTTAAAGTGCTAGCCCCAAACACCATTTTCCTAAATCAAAATAACAAGAAAAAAAAAGGTAAAGAGCTAAAGTTTTCTCTTTCCACGTCTTCCAGTGTCTAAATCAACCAGCTTTGATGATGATAGAACTGGCATTGGCGTTGATAAACCAACAGATTCTGGAATGTCAAGATTGACTCTAACAGATTGTCCTGCCATTATGCGCTTCATATCAAGCTCATGAAATTGCTGAACTTGAATTTTTACTTTGTCAATCTGCTTAGAAAAATACATAAGAAATAAATGGTAAGTGGCAGCAGATTAAGACCTTTGCCAATTATGCAAGCTGCTTTTCGCTAGAAAACCAGATATGTGAATCAATTAGTTGTAATTACAAGTTCAATATGATGAATGGATGAACGTGAATCCGCAAGTCTCTTCTGCAACTCATCAAACTTTTTTCTTCGGTATTCATCATTCTCCATTTCATTTCCCCTCTCACCTAATTGTTGAAAGAGACCTGCAAGAACAATATTCAAATAAAAGTAAATGAGAAAGATTAATTCAAAATTAAAGTACTTTGAGAATACACTCAATCCATATCTAGAACCTGCAGCGTAAGATATACCTGTCAAAACAGACAGAACCCATATCTGAGTTGGTATATCACCAAGCTTCTTTGCCAAAGTGAGTGAGGATCTTAGGATCTCTCTGGCTTGTCCAGTGTCATGCAGAACAAGTGCCAAATTCCCAAGAATAGTCAAATACTGTGAAACAAGTTGGAGGTTTCCCATTTGAACATGAGCAATCTGCAAACCCTTGGCCAACCGATTTCTGCATCAAAGTTGTTATTTTATACGCACTGATTGAGAGAGAGATAACAGTCATACCAATCCCTAAACCATAAAATTAATTCGAATATTCCATAACAGACAAGAGAGTATCTTTCTTTTTTCTTTTCTTAGGTAAGTATCTATATTTTCTTCTTTTCTTTAAAAAAGTTAATGATCATCATTAGTAAGAAGTATATTATGAATCTTGTTCATCCAAACATGTTTTCTTTTATCCAAAATACTATAAAATAGGAAAGACACTGTCCTTTTGAGCGTGTTAACTTATCCTTTTACTACTTTCAATAACCATAATTTTTCCATCAACACTACCTTCAATCCAAAATAAAACTTTAAAATACAGCCCATCACTCTGAAGAATGGTCAAAATGAGATGCCCAATTCTAGAGAAAACTTTTCATTCCCCTTGGATTTACAGGCATAAATCAATGCACAGTAGACAGGACAAGCTGACAAGGGAGGAACAGAGGAATTGAAGGAGAAAGTAGAGTAGGAGAAAGGAACTCAAGGTCTTTTCAAAAATATTAAAATGTTAAACAACGCTTTTTGACACACTAACACAAATGCTATTGCTATTACTGAATAGCGATTCTGGAAATGCATTAAAAAAAGAATTGGGATGTTTCAAATGCCACATAAGATACAATGGACCAATTATCTAAATGAAACAGTCAACTTTCTTTCAGTTTAAATGAAAATAATCAACTCAGAAAAAACGCTCACCTTGCTTCCTGTAGATCTTGCTGCTTCATCAAAAGAAGGCCATAAGCAAAAAGGATACTTGCTTCCTCTCGAAGTCCAGCAAAGGAATCTTTCATTCTGTAAACTGGTCCAATTAAATCAAGTGCCTACATGCAAGATATATATCAGTAACAAAATATAGACACAAGAGAGAAAAAACCAAAACCATAAACCAAATTATAGTTTCAGCAACAATGAATTTTGTAACAAGACAAACTACTAGACCTGTGAAGATGATTCAGCATCACCAATGCAAAAGTATGAAACAGCTGCATAAGCTTGGCACATGATTTGCATTGATTTGCTCTCAGTTATCTAAACATGTGAAATGAAAGGGAAACTTTAAATTTCACAAATATTCATCTGAAAAACAGGATATAGGCAATGTGTATCAGATGACATCATCTAAACAGAATGAACTTCCTTATATTAAATGGTATAAGCATTTAACTACCCACCTCCATTTCAAAAGTGATAACTAAAATTATGGAACTTGTGAATTGATGCCAAGTTAAACAGCATACCTTTGCAGCTTCTACATAATGAAAAGCTGCTTCATTATAACAACCAACAGAATGGGCATATTGCCCCCTAAGCATCTCAATGATGCTCTCACAAGCCTGTAAAATTGTTGGAAAGCGAGTGAACCAGTTCTTCATTTGCACCAATGCCTGTAACATTGAGATACTATCATAGTGATTCAATTCCAAGAATTACTGATACAGATTACTGGCATGGAGATTATTAAGGAGTCAATAAGCAAAACAGCCAACCAAAATGCAAATCTACTATAAGTACAAATAGTTTCAGAATGGAAAATCAACTAAGATGCTGCCAATCCAGAAGTTTATAATTGTACAGCAGAAAGAATTCAGTGTCTAATGGAAACTGAAATGGAAATGATGATCTTGTTAAACAAAGTCAGAGAAAGTCTCTCCACATGTTTCTGTACATAAAATAGATATTGAGGTGAACCAAAAAGAAGTATTCTCACAATACCAAAGTAATTTCAAGGTGAAGTCATCATCAGTGCTCACTAGAGGCAAACACATAACCATATTGAAGACATGTACTCTTTACAATCTATCATCTTTGTTTCAACCAAACATAAAATTATAATTAACATAACTCGATAGTTTAACTTAGCTTAGTGAAGAGATAATCGGAACTAAAAAGTCAAGGATCCTTCTTTTCTTTTACTTTTTTTTTTCAGATAAGCAAAATCAAAGATCCTTCAAACCTGTATAAATGTTAAAAAATAAAATAAACCACATACATATATGCATAAGACTTTTGGCTAACTTATCAATTGTCCATTAAGATGCTGTTTAAAAAAGGTAGGGAAATATAACACACCCCAAGATAATTCAAACAAATGGATTTGAGTTTTCAGAGAGAAGATATAAACAATTCATTGGAATAATTGGAGGCGTAAAACCCACCTCTTGAGCTTCAAGAAATTCAGACCGTGTAAGCTCCACAGCCACTTTATTCTCAAGGAACTGCATCAATAGCATTAAATATACACCAGCCATCCAGATTGCTGAGTGTTGCAAATCCACTTCTACTCAAGAAACATTAAGAAAGTTACTAATAGTTGTGGGAAAACACTTATTTACAGCTGGTTGTAATATTGTAATCTGTATATTTATATTTGTATCTCTAGAATTAAGTATTTGTATCCCTAGAATTAAGGACAAAAAATTAGGATAGACAATCCCTCAATTATAAGATCAATTTTTAGGAAGATTTAGTTTCCTAATTTAACCCCTAATTAGTTGTATATAAACCTAAGGTTCTTGTATAATTCTTTATGAACAGTTTTTCAATATACATTCAGTTTTTCTCTTAATTTTTCACACAGTTTTATTTCTTAGTTTTTTCACATGGTATCAGAGCTTTAGGCTCTTCTTGGGAAGCAAAATTTTCAACCTTCATTGCTGACTTCTATTTTAGGCCTTCATTGCCGAACCCTGTTTAGGCCTTCATTGCCGAACCCTGTTTAGGCCTTTATAGCCATTCTATTTTTCCTTTCTTTAGCCTTCATTGCTAAGAGTCATTTCTGGTTATATCTTAAGACTTGTTTCAGTTCAAAGAAAGATATCACTACCACCCAATTTGAGGAAATGTCAACTGAAAAAATGACCGGAGTGCTACAGATGTCTCAAAAACAAGAAGAGTTCAACAGATAAGAGATTGAAAAGCTGGGAAACCTATTGAAAACCCTTGAAAAGCCTACTGTGGTATGTTCCTTGGGTAAGGTCTCTAGTTCAGGTAAAGCTTCTGGTTCTCATGGATTAAATGTCGCGTTTAAGCCTATTACGAGTTCTTGGGTCATTGACTCAGAAGCCACAAACGATATGGCGCATTCCTCACAGAAGTTTAGTACATATACCCTGTGTTCTAGTAATAAGAAAATTGTTGTTACAGATGGTTCACTTACTACAGTGGTAGGATTAGGAGATGTTGAAGTTAATCCCTCATTTGTTCTAAAAAATGTTCTTCATGTTCATGGATTGTCTACTAATATGATATCTATACAAAAACTTACCAGAGATATGAATTGCAAAGTGACTTTTTATCCCTTTTATTGTGAATTTCAGGACCAAAGTTCGGGGAAGAGGATTGGACTTGCTAAGGAGAAGGATGGACTATACTATCTTGAGACATCAAATAACACAAGTAATATCAAGAATAGTTTACCTTTGTCATTTCTTTCTGAAAAATCTTCCAATAAAGACAAAATCTAGCTTTATCATTTTCGTCTTGGACATCTTTCTTTTGGAACTTTGAGAAACATGTTTCCTTCATTGTTCAAAGGATTAAGTGTCGAAGATTGTCATTGTGATGTTTGCAAACTTGCGAAGCACAGACGTGTGTCTTTTCCAATTAGTAACAAAAGAAGTTCTACTCCCTTTTACTTGATTCACAATGACATTTGGGGTCCCTCTACAATTCCTAATATTTTTGGTACAAGATGGTTTGTTTCATTCATAGATGATTGTACTAGGATCTCTTGGGTTTTTTTACTTAAATCCAAATCAGATGTGAATAGTGTATTTTCAAACTTCCAAAACATGATCCAAAATCAATTTGGAGTGAGAATCAAGAGATTTAGGTCTGATAATACAAGAGACTATTTCAACCAGAGTCTATCCACCTATTTTCAAAAGGAGGGGATTATCCATGAGTCATCTTGTGTTAATACTCCACAACAAAATAGAGTGGCAGAGAGGAAAAACAGCCATTTACTAGCCACAACCCAAGCCTTCCTTTTTCAAGCAAATGTACCCAAATCTTATTGGGGAGAAGCTGTTCTCATTGCCACACACATTATAAATAGGTTATCTTCAAGGGTTTTGGGATTTAAA